GCTGTCAAAGTGCTGACCACACTTTTCCTTCATATGCCGAAGTCAAGAAACATGAACTGCCCAATAGATCTCTAGGTCTAAAGAGTATTCTTTACTTTTATATCCTAATTTAAGTGATTGATCGCGACACGCTCCGTTATCTAACACAAATCAAAATTCTAAATCCAACACAATATCATAGCAGTGACCTTATATAGATGTGACCTAATTTGACATGATGTTTAGAATGAGCTGGTAGAAAATACAACAAGCTGCTGGGGCTATTGATTTTCCCACGGCCACTCCCGTAGGTACACTCACTCGGCCTAGTGGAAGCCTCTTACTAGGATAGCTAAGTACGGCTTTGGTTGTTGACTATTCGGAGGCCAGTTGTTCTAAGTAAATTGGACTTAACACATTAGGGATAGGGACGGGGGGAGGGGGAGAGACCATTGCAGAAGGGAAATGAGAAACATTTTGTTTCAAAATATCGAATTTGTATGCGGTGTAGTAATTTTTAGCGCAATTTCCATTCTGGAGAATTGCGTTTATTAACCCGTCATTTCTGGGAATGGATGGATGGATGGATGAATGTGTGTCCGGTCTTTAAGTCGTATCTCCTCCTCAACGAAGCAATATCGATGACTAGTTCCAAAAGCAATTATGTTAAGCAAGTTACGAGAATGAGCATAGGCTATAAAAATTCCGGGTTTCTTTCATGTATTTCCCGGAAAAGCCAAAAAACCTCGAAAAAATGCAGTTTTTGGCCCATATCCCGGCAACCAGACCACTTAGCGACTTGAAACATGTACCAATCGATTCCTGTCATAATTTAGAACAATATTGCCAAAGAAAGGTTTCAAAAATATCCTCTCGTTCGGTCACAAATTTTAAAAATACATAAACACCTACAAACCGATCGTTCTTCTAGCTTGAACGCACCCCAACATTATACGTCAGAGCTATTTTTAGATAACATAAGGAAATTGCGCATAAATGTCACTAGACTTTTTTAATTAACTTGTTTTCTAAAGTACAAAAAAAAAAATTGCAATTTTCCAGGTATTATTTTAAGGTTACAAACTAAATTTTTAGTTCCTTTAACTCGTACACCTTAGGTTATTAAAAATCATGTTGGCACTGGTAGGCCTATTTGTCAAGGACATCAAAGTCAATATCTTAAGACTTAAGTGTTGCTGTTAACTTACTCTAGGCTTAGTTTAACCCTAACCACCCTCTATGGAAATCTGTCGACAACAAGCTAGAGAGCTTAGTTTAACCCTAACCACCCTCTGGAAGCCAAATAAATGCAGCCCCGTTAATTTAGAACAAGTATCACACTAATACTTTAACAAGATGGAGGGAAAAATACTTGGCAACAACTGTTAATATGTAATGTATCGACTTTTTTAAAATTCTGAAGTTTTTTTTTTTTTGTTATTCTTTTGTTGCACTAACTTTCTCGCCTCTTTCCCCCCCCCCCCCCCCCCCCCAATTAAAATAAACCGTTAAATGATGCGTTGCTGAAGCGGATGATATTATTATTAACCGGTCTTCCATACAGAAACACACAACACAATGTCCGACTAATGTTACAACTGCTGATTGACGTCATGTCATGCTGTAGACTCAACACATCACCCTGTTATACACAACACATCACCCTGTTATACACAATACATCACCCTGTTATTGACAATACATCGCCCTATGTTATGTTATAGACTCAATAATTCACCCAATGTCAAGTAATAGACCCAACACATCAACTTGCTACAGACTCAATACATCATCCTGTCATTGACAATACATCGCCCTATGTCATGTTATAGACTCAACACATCAACTTGCTATAGACTCAATACATCATCCTGTTATTGACAATACATCGCTCTATGTCATGCTATATACACTTAATACATCACCTTGTTATAGACTATACCCTATGTCACCCTATGTCATGATTGTCAATACATCACCCTGTCTTGTTAAACACTCAACACATCAGGTGATCTATAGATCCTGGTACTACAACTACTGAGATTATATTTATGCTGTATATCAAGTCACTAAACATCTATCTTATGTGATACATTATGGACATAAACAAAGGCGAACTATTGTCAGTAATACATCTACTCACTCTAATGCTATTATGTTATGTTATTCACAAGTTGTTTTTTTACTACTACTACTACTATAAATAATGTACTAATACTCATGTAATACATTGATAAGCGTTTTTAACTACTTCTTAGACCAAGTATCCTTACAACAAGTATCTGTTAAATTGTATAATACAGTCAATTATTGGCGATCTTATTCTTATACTACTGCTAGAAATAATGTAGTTATACTCATGTAATACATTGTCTAGCGTTTTAACTACTTCTTAGACAAAGTATCCTTACAACGGGTATCTTGTAGACTTGTAATACAGTCAATTATTGGCGATGTACTGCTAGAACTACTCTAGTGCTACTCGAGTTATCGTATATGTTTCAACACAGTCGAGCTATGGCTACAATTTCTCCAGTGCTACTTTGTGATGTAACACACTAACACATTCTACTGATAAAAGTAATGCTACTTTTTGAGGTAACACACTAACACAGTCTACTGATAAAAGTATTGCTACTTTGTGATGTAACACACTAACACATTCTACTGATAAAAGTAAAGCTACTTTTTGATGTAACACACTAACACATTCTACTGATAAAAGTAATGCTACTTTGTGATGTAACACACTAACACATTCTACTGATAAAAGTAATGCTACTTTGTAATACATCAACACGACCGAGTTTTTCATCGACTGCTAGAACTACTCACTCTCTACTACCAGGATGCTCGGTACTGTCATAGACATTGTTATGTAAACATCGGCTGCGAGTGAGCGGCAGTGGCAGGTAAAAGACGGGGGTTTCTAGAGATCTACGAGCACACGAAATAGTGTAGAAACCCTGTGTTGTGTACTCACCAGCTATTTTATCCACACGACCAACATGAGCTCACCCCCGCGGTCCAATGCACGCGCATGAAAGGCTCCATTGATGTCTCGTGCAACCCCCCGTCATCACGTGGTGCTGATACACTCTCGTCAAGCTTAGCTCTCAGCACGGTCTAGTCAAAGTAAAGAGGGGGGAGCTGCGGGGGGGGGGGGGGGAGAAGGAAGCGTATCGGCTTGAGGGAACCGATCGATATTTCTAGAAAGATGGAATTCCGTCCCCTTCCACGATGGTCTAGATAAATAAAAAAAAATGTCGTTGATAGAACCGTAAATATGGGAGATCGATTCATACTTCTGGTGTAATCAAATCAGACGGCAAACGGCTCTAATTTGTGGTGGATTTTTTTTCTATAAGTGGGTATAGGCGCGGTTTTTTTTTATTTTATTTTTTATATTTTTTTTGCTAATGGAAAGGGGAGGTAACTGTTATTCAAGGGACGTAATGAATGTTTTCCTGAGCCAATAAGTCGAGGATTAATAATGCATCTCTCAGCTGACTCGTATACCGGCGAGTCAATGGAAATGCCCGAGTTACTTTTTGTTTGGTTTCTGTACAGCTACCGGCACTCAGCTCCGCGAAGTAGCAAGCTCTTAGCTCCGCGAAGTGTAGTCGTGACATGCGTGCTAGATTTTTTAGCGCAATTTCCATTCTGGAGAATTGCGTTTATTAACTCGTCATTTCTGGGAATGTATGGATTGATGAATGTATGGATGTATGAATGTGTGTCCGGGCTTTAAGTCGTATCTCCTCCTCAACGAAGCAATATCGATGACTAGTTACAAAAGCAATTATGTTAAGCAAGTTACGAGGATGAACATAGGCCAAAAAAATTCCGGGTTTCTTTCATGGATTTCCCGAAAAAGCCAAAAAACCTCGAAAAAATTCAGTTTTTGGCCCATATCTCGGCAACCAGACCACTTAGCGACTTGAAACATGTACCAATCGATTCCTGCCATAATTTAGAACAATATTGCCGAAGAAAGTTTTCAAAAATATCCTTTCGTTCGGTCACAATTTTTTTTTTAATTAATTAAAATTTGGACCGAATTAGTAGGCATGTTTTTCCAACCACACCACACGCGTCATCACGTTCAATAGCTGCGCCATCACGTTCAATGGCTGCGACATCACGTTCGGTAGCTAGGCGCGCAATGGTTTTTAGTCATGTTACTCTATTGTAAATAAAACATGTAAAATACCGGAAAAAAAATTAATAAAAAACGTTTTAATAACTAACCAATGGTTTTACTAACCCTGCTCTTGATTTACGCTACGACAGAGCTAATTTTAGATAACATAAGGAAATTGCGCTAAAATTGTCACTAGACTTTTTTTAATTACTTGTTTTTTTAAAGTTAAAGCCGGCTAAGATCAAACCATGTAATGCGGGGTTTAATTACGGCTGACTATAACTCAGATTAAATCGGAGTAGCACCAAATAGTGTTCTGTTCCTTAGCTCGAGTTGGTATTATGAGCTCAGCATTGCCCACTCGTTTCTCTTCACTTTAATCAGTAGGAGAAAGTAAAGATTGCTGGGCATTGGAAAAGTATATTTTTTTCATAATGCCAATTATGTACACTATGTCTTTAAAGCCACTATGTGTACATATGTTAAAATTCACTAAGTGTACATGTGTTTCAAGCTGCCCTATGTACACGAAGTGTATCGCACACAATTTAAATTGATGTGTAATTCAAAATGTGACAGTTTTTTGGGCTGATATTTTTTTTTTAACTTAACGCCCGTGCCCTACCTACAAAACCAGATACACTCTTCTCCACCTGCATTGTGTACAATCTGATCTCCAAATCAAACGTATCGCTTTGACTCGGCCCTCAACTATTTCCTACAGACATTCTTCAAAACTGAACTTACATTTTAAATACGAATCGACGAAAGTCACAACTAAATCGGTTATTAATTTATTACATGTTTTAAAATTAAATATTCTTCTATCTTTTGTTTGTTTTTGTAATAAATGACAGGTATTGTTTCAACATTGCAGGCGCTATCCTCAATGCCATGGGGCAAGGCAAGGTCACGTCTGCCGATGTGGGTCATAAAGGGACGCAACTCAAACTTACTCTAGTTCTAAACAATGAACAGAAAGTCATTTTCAAACCTGCCTGGTAAGAAAGTGTTGTGGTTGTGAAATGAACGTAATATTCATGATTTTCGTTGTCGTACTGAAGAGCGTTCTTGTCCTTGTAGTCTTGAATGACACCCAGAAAATGTTATAAAGGTCGGTTGTCAAGCAATAGGTGTTTCACAATCCATGTATTGTAGGACACCTTCACCACCTTCATGGTGCTTCTAATGGCTCGATGTCCCACCTAAGCCCATGTCCCACCTAAGCCCATGTCCCACCATGTCCCACCTAATCTCATGTCCCACCATGTCCCGCCTAATCCCATATCCCACCTAAGCCCATGTCCCACCTAATCCCATGTCCCACCTAAGCCCATGTCCCACCTAAGCCCATGTCCCACCATGTCCCACCTAAGCCCATGTCCCACCAAATCTCATATCCCACTTAAGCCCATGTCCCACCTTATCCAATGTCCCACCTAATCCCATGTCCCACCTAAGCCCATGTCCCACCATGTCCCACCTAATCCCATGTCCCACCTAATCAAATGTCCCACCTAATCCCATGTCCCACCTAAGCCCATGTCCCACCTAAGCCCATGTCCCACCTAAGCCCATATCCCACCTAAGCCCATGCCCCACCAAATCCCATATCCCACTTAAGCCCATGTCCCACCTTATCCAATGTCCCACCTAATCCCATGTCCCACCTAAGCCCTGTCCCACTTAAGCCCATGTCCCACCTAATCCCATGTCCCACTTAAGCCCATGTCCCACCTAATCCAATGTCCCACCTAATCCCATGTCCCACCTAAGCCCATGTCCCACCTAAGCCCATGTCCCACCATGTCCCACCTAATCCCATGTCCCACTTAAGCCCATGTCCCACCTAATCCAATGTCCCACCTAATCCCATGTCCCACCTAATCCCATGTCCCACCTAAGCCCATGTCCCACCATGTCCCACCTAATCCCATGTCTCACCTAAGCCCATGTCCCACTTAAGCTCATGTCCCACCTAATCCCATGTCCCAACAGCCCATGTCCCACTTAAGCCCATGTCCCATCTAATCCCATGTCCCACCTAAGCCCATGTCCCACCTAATCCCATGTCCCACCATGTCCCACCTAATCCCATGTCCCACCAAATCCCATATCCCACTTAAGCCCATGTCCCACCTAATCCAATGTCCCACCTAATCCCATGTCCCAGCTAAGCCCATGTCCCACCATATCCCACTTAAGCCCATGTCCCACCTAATACAATGTCCCACCTAATCCCATGTCCCACCTAAGCCCATGTCCCACCATATCCCACTTAAGCCCATGTCCCACCTAATACAATGTCCCACCTAATCCCATGTCCCACCTAAGCCCATGTCCCACCTAAGCCCATGTCCCACCTAATCCCATGTCCCACCTAAGCCCATGTCCCACCAAATCCCATATCCCACTTAAGCCCATGTCCCACCTTATCCAATGTCCCACCTAAGCCCATGTCCCACCAAATCCCATATCCCACTTAAGCCCATGTCCCACCTTATCCAATGTCCCACCTAATCCCATGTCCCACCTAAGCCCATGTCCCACCTAATCCCATGTCCCACCTAAGCCCATGTCCCACCTAAGCCCATGTCCCACCAAATCCCATATCCCACTTAAGCCCATGTCCCACCTTATCCAATGTCCCACCTAATCCCATGTCCCACCTAAGCCCATGTCCCACCTAAGCCCATGTCCCACCTACTCCCATATCCCACTTAAGCCCATCTCTATTAACACCCACAGGTACACACGAGATTACCTGGTCACTGGCACACCCTATGCTGGACGTGATCGGCACAATGCTGAAATAGCTGCCTTTCACCTGGGCAGGTAAATGATTGTTCCTCTCTCTTCCTTATTTCTTTCTTGATTTACCTGACCCCCTCTCCAACCCCTCTTTTTAATTTGTAATAACTTTAATTGCTGATTACAAGTCATGATAGCCTATGTTTTGAAATAGCTAGCTCTAGTCTGTATTTTTCTTTGTGTTAAGTTTTGCTCTGTGTTTAACTCCAAATGTGTGTAAAGTTTTGTGTTTAGCTGTATTCTGTGTTTAGCTTCATTGTTTTTTTTAACTCTATTCTGAGTTTACCTTTCTGCTTACCTCAAATCAGTATTATTTATCCATCTTTACAATTAGCTCTAATTAGCCTTAACACTGCCCCTATCTATCTAGAATCCTGGAACTAAGGAGGACACCTCTAGCTGTGGGCAGGAGGCTGGACATCAAAAATGACATCCAGTCAGTGGCTACTGAGGGCTTGTTGAGCACATTTTTTAACAAAGGTAATCAAGGATGGCCAGTGAGAATCATACATTACATTGGTACAGATATAGATAGCTATGGGAACAAATGTATACAGATATAGAAGATGAACATTGTATCACTGCAGTTTTTTTTTTTTAAATAGTACTTCCAGTTTAATTTTACCTATTTAGGAAATAATTTCAAAATAAATTAAAAATAAATATCAAAAACTATTTTGCTGGACATTTTAGGGGCCATGGCCACTATTTTTTAGAGGCATGGTTATTGTGTCTGGATAAATGTATTTTTATTTTAAAGTGAAGATAAATCTAGTTTTACAGTGCTAATGTATTTAATACAATATTTATTTAAATCAATTTTTCAAACATGTATTTTTTTATTAAAATCATGACAGCAGAAACAATCTTTCAATCACGTCTAAACAAATAGGTTATCTTTTGTTGGTTTAGATGGAGAAAGCTGTTGTTGTTTTGTTTTTTTTAAAACTAAAACCTATTTACATGAAACAGTCTTTTAACTTATGTTTCAACCTACATTTAACCTTTTGTTTGTTTATTTTAAGATGGAGAAAGCTGTTTTTATTTTGTTTTAAAATTTAACCTATTTACATGAAACAATCTTTTAACTTATGTTTCAACATTTAACCTTTTGTTTGTTTTCAGATGGAGAAAGCTGTTTCTATGGCCGATGTTTGTATTGTAAAGGCCCAGATGATGGGGTGTGTGCTACCAATGGCTACATCGAGGGGACGCTGGTTCTCTGGCTGCCCTCACAGTTCCGCATGAAAGTACACAAGCACCCCTGGTCTAGGACCTACAGAGATAGTTTGCAGGCAAAGTGAGTATTGCTTAGTGCAACTGTTTTTTTTTCTAATATGTTAAACGAAACATTAATGCCTGTCAAACAATTAAGGCAGCAATTGAAATGGACAGTGCTATTATAATTAGCAAAGCTAAAAATATAATTGAAGCTAAGTAAAGGACTACAAGGCCGAGCATGCATTCGTTAACCTCAAGAGTATCAAATTTGGATTCTGGGCTAGTCCGTCAGATTTACCTGAGTTCACTCAGCTCTATTAGGTACCCGATTCAAGTCTAGTCAAATACAGGCAGATTAACATAGTATTGAACACACAGTTACAGGTGAACTCTACTTCATCTGCTTATTAAAGGGAAGATGCTTTTTATTTCTCTTAAACATAGTATTGTACGGAGTGGTCTAGCGGTAGAGAGCTCGACTGCTAACCCATAAGTCTCAAGTTCGAATCCGGGTTCAAGTCAGTAGACCGTCCCTGAGTCCACCCAACTCTGATGGGTACCTAACTCACGTTGGGGAAAGTAAAGGCGGCTGGGCATAGTGCTGACCACACTATCTCTTCATATGCCGAGGTCACAGAAACAAGTGAACTCTACTTCACTTGCCCTATAGACCGTCAGGTTTGAAAAGGGAACTTTTCTTTACTTTTTAAACATAGTATATTTAAATTGAATGCCGAAGTTGAAAAGGATGAAAAATAAGTATTAGGGCCTAAGTATTTTGTCGTATCATTTTTAGAACACGTTTTTGTGGTATTTAACTCCATTACTGTTGTAATGATTCCTATGACAGATGGGAAACAGACAAAGACTATTGCCAGAAACTAGTGCAGGTGAACCCAACCTTCAGCAGTGGCCCCAGGCTTATGGACATCATTGACACAGCAGTGTTTGACTACCTGATTGGTAACGCAGACAGGCATCACTACGAGACGTTTGAAGCCATGGCCGACAGCATGTTGATTATGTTGGACAATGGGAAAAGGTGCACTATCTTTTTTTGGTTTTGTTAGTATTTAAAGGTGTTCTATCTTTTTTTTGGTTTTGTTAGTATTTAAAGGTGCACTATCTTCTTTTGGTTTTATTAGTATTAAGTAAACACTTTATGGTATCAGACATTCAGGTAACTGGTAGACAGGTGTTGTATAGTACTCAGGTGGTGTATGGCATACAAGTGTCAAATATATACTTGTTATCTGGCTCACAGGTGTCAGATACATAGCTGTGTTATGACATACAGGTGTGAGGTACATACCTGTGTTATGACATACAGGTGTCAGATACATAGCTGTGTTATGACATACAGGTGTGAGGTACATACCTGTGTTATGACATACAGGTGTGAGGTACATACCTGTGTTATGACATACAGTTGTGAGGTACATACCTGTGTTATGACATACAGTTGTGAGGTACATATCTGTTATCTGGCATATAAGTGTCCCACACGCTGTTGTGGGGTACACATCTCCATAACTTAACCCTTTCTAACATGATTAAATTAATCAAAATGCCAGCTCTGACCTAGGTACCTGATGAGATCATGTAAAAGATTAAATTATCACTTTCATGAAGTTAAACCTTGTCTACCCCCAGTTTTGGCAACCCAGGAGTTGATGAGCTAACCATCCTGGCACCATTGTACCAGTGCTGCAAGTAAGTCTCTTCTAGCTGTGTGTTTGTATATGGGGTGGGGTGGTTGGAAACCCAGGAGTTGATAAGCTAACCATCCTGGCACCATTGTACCAGTGCTGCTAGTAAGTCTCTTCTAGCTGTGTGTTTGTATATGGGGTGGGGTGGTTGGCAACCCAGGAGTTGATGAGCTAACCATCCTGGCACCATTGTACCAGTGCTGCAAGTAAGTCTCTTCTAGCTGTGTGTTTTTATATGGGGTGGGGTGGTTGGAAACCCAGGAGTTGATAAGCTAACCATCCTGGCACCATTGTACCAGTGCTGCAAGTAAGTCTCTTCTAGCTGATAATGCTGTGTGTTTGTATATGGGGTGGAAGAGTGATGTGGTACAGCTGAATGAAAGTTTGTTTAGTATATGGGGTGGTGTCTTCATGTGATGAAAGTTTGTTTAGTATATGGGGTGGTGTGGTCATGACGTAGAGCTGAATGAAAGTTTGTTTTGTATATGGGGTGGTAAGGTAGAACAGGATGAAAGTTTGTTTAGTATATGGGGTGGGATGGTCATGTTGTAGAGCTGGATGAAAGTTTGTTTAGTATATGGGGTGTGGTTGTGTTGTAGAGCTGGATGAAAGTTTGTTTAGTATATGGGGTGTGGTTGTGTCGTAGAGCAGGATGAAAGTGTTCCCAAGCAGACTGTCAGGTCTATAGGAGCATCAAACTTTAATGGGTGACTGACTTGAGTTGAGAGAGTTTTAGTTTAAGGGCATGGGCGGGTGAGGAAAACCAAAATAACTAAAATGCTTATTTCTAAACATAACGCTATTATATTTAACAAATAGTTATAACTCAAAGAGTTAAGTCTAAATATTTGAAAATGGCTGAAAATGTCCTGCCATATGAAAGAGTTTATTACTTTACTGGGGGGGTGGGGGGGGGGGGGCAATTTTTTTGCTGGATAAACATACCCTACATGATTTGTAAATTCTAAAATCCTACATTATTTGTAAATTCTAAATTTAGAGTATTTTAAAATTTGTTGTTGTTCTTGTATTGGCTGGTTAACAATCTTTTTAAAAAAGCCTTGCAATGTGTTAAATTTGAAATATATTCTTTCAGAATTAGGTCCTCTCTCTGGCAGAGGCTGTTGGCCCTCCAAGATGGCATCCTCAGTAAAGTCCTGGAAGGAGTTCTCTCCCATGACCCCATTGCCCCAGTACTGACCAGGCAGCATCTAGAGGCCCTGGACAGGCGGCTGGTCACTGTCTTAGAGCAGATCCAGCTGTGTCTTGACAAGTTTGGTATTAGTGCAGTTGTCACAGATTCTTTTGACAAAGGGAGATAATATCTGTACAATTTTAGACATTATTTTTTTTATAAAGGGATTTAATAAAACTTTGTTTTGTAAACAAAGAGTTAAAATATAAGTTTAAAAACTTCAAGGCTAAACACCTCGGGTAATTAATTTATGAATAAATTAGCAGTTATTTGCTTTTTTAACAATGTAGCCAGCAATAGTTTACACAAATTGTTACTTTACATAAAGAAGTTAAACCTCCATCTTTCAGGAAACGTGTTCATTCATAAAACTGTGTTTATAATTTTCTATCAGTGTTTAACTCTATAATTCCTACTTGCCTTACAAATGATATCCAGTATTTTACTGTTACTGCCTCCTTCTCTTCAATGTTGCCAAATATTTGTTATCACATTGTTTGCATTAGTTTTTACCTGATGATATATTATTGAAATTAAAATATTTCTTCTAATGGGTCATCTATAAATGACGTCACCTTTTTTTGTGAAGATTTTTACCTTTCCCCCCTCCCCTCCATCACAGATCGTCACAAAAAATGATGCCACACGTCAGCCTACCACCCCCCTCATAATTGCTGTTGAGTTTTTTTTAAACGTCAATTGCTTTTCTAAAATATAGACTGGGCTTGGTCAGCTTAGAGTTTTTGTATCAATTTCTGTTTTATTTTATTAAAACAGTTTTCTTAAATGCGTGAAACAACTGCTAAAATTCACTTTCTAACATTAGCTTTTTTAAAATACAAAAGTGTGACATCACATTACCTGAAACTCCCCCTCATTACACATCATCACAAAATTACCCCCCCCTACCAGTGTGACATCGTTTATGCATGTCCCTTTAAGTAAAATCTCCATGCATGCATTAAAAGTCAATCTTTTTGTTTTTGGCCAATGGTGTATTTATTACCTCCTTCTTTACTTGTATCTGGCATTTTGTTTTTATTTTTTTTTATTTTTTGCTAATGTATATCTGATGAAGTAAATTATTAAAGCCCAGTGCCCATAAAAATAGCAATTCATAGCATAACATATTGAACATGACACTGAGGCATTCCATTCAGAGCCTATTGTTATGTGTATGGAAGCAGGCATGTGATAGGAATTATGTTAGAGGTATAGTTGTATGTACTATTCCAATACACTCATTACATGTTTGACACAAGGTGAATTATGTGTATGGAAGCAGGCATGTGATAGGAATTATGTTAGAGGTATAGTTGTATGTACTGTTTCAATACACTACACTCATTACATGTTGGACACAAGGTGAATTATGTGTATGGAAGCAGGCATGTGATAGAAATTATGTTAGAGGTATAGTTGTATGTACTGTTTCAATACACTACACTCATTACATGTTTGACACAAGGTGTCTATATGTTGTCTCATCTGTGTGTTGAAATTATGCTGCACATTTCTATGATGCTATGTTGTAAACCAGTGAGCTATAACGTATTATTCCTAGCTGTTAAATCTAAAACCGTAACAATAGACTGTGTCTATGGAAACAGGGACTTTAAAGGAGTAAGTCACGATAACATACACATTATTTAATACAATGCTGGCCATTTTTATATAAATGTGTTATAAATCTTTGCTTGCTTGCGATTAGTGGGAAATGAATGCACTTGTTATTATTAACCAGTATTTTGTTGTGTGTGATAAAAGTTATTGGCCAGTGTAAGATTGTTTCTTCTTTACATGCTAAAGTATTACTTTTTTTTATTAGGCTAATAAGGTAGGTAGCTTACAAGGTTAATTTTAGTTTTAGTAAGTCAACATTTCAATATCTATTTTATCACTGCAACCTTGTAATAATATTGTTTTCAAATAATTGACTTTCCGAAAGAAAAAAAATTTATATTATACTATCAACTATCAGTATTTTTTTTACTGCCCTTTTATCATGAACTGAATGCATGAAATGGATGTTCACATACTGTTATCTTGCATGTATTTAGAAATTTTGCACTCAGCTTGTAGTGATTTCATGTGGGATTTAGATCTATGGTATTTTATTTTCTAAACATTTCTACTGATTCAAGCAAACAGGTTCCTATGACAGTTTTAGTTTACAAATCTCTGTGGCACAATGAGCCTTCACCTTTGGACTGAACTCTACTGGAACTTGAAACATTGTCAAATATATTTTATGGATCTGTGTATAAATCATGTCTCTTTTTTTTTATGTTGTTGGGTATATTTAATCTGTATGATGATATTGGGATAAATTTTAAAATATTGATGTAAAAAAAGTTCATTTTGTTGATTTGTTTTTATACCTAGAGGTGTAGTTGTTTGTAAGATGGTGCAACTCCATTCCCCTGCAATGCCATTAGTAGTTAGTGTGCAGTCATCTATTGACATAGGCCAACAAGTTTCATTTTAAAAGAAGAAAAATTGTATTTTCAAAATATTACACCTACTGGCCAACAATCACACAACCTGACATACAATCACAGACTCAATCACAATCATCAAGGTTGGAGATAACAGGTGAAGAAACATTTCAAATAAATTTTATTTCAAATCTACAAAAATGAATTTTCTCATAATTTATAAATATACCAACAATTGGCCTATAATATAAAAATATAAAAAAAGTTTTTTTTTTCCAAAAAGTAAATTTGACATTTCACTCAACTTAGACCATGAACAATGAAGTTATGGCTATAAATATTTTTTGTATAAAAGTTACTCAGTAACTAAATATTGTAAGTATGATGATCCATCACAGAGTAACTTACTAATTCAAATGTTTTAACTGTTAGATTATTTTTTTGTTGAAGAAAAAATTATTAATATCACTTATTAACAATCTCTAACCCTAAAACTATTGTTCATAGCAGCTCCAAATCAGTCAATTTAATTTTTGCATTAAGTAAGTCACATATTCTCTTGAATACAAAATCAAAAGAAACATTAAAATATAAATCACATTTGAGCAAGTTATAATAAAGTATGTACAGCCAATCAAAATGTACATTTAAAACAACCAATTACATCAAGTGTATTAAACCTTGTCATCAGTGTTTATTTTTCTTGTCCAATATGTTGGCAGACAATTTTTTTATAAAGTCTCATTAAAATCCACTTTATACTTGTGCTGAAAATATTCAAGGAGTTGCACGAAGTTTTAGCTGATCTAATATAATCTAGTTCAAATCACTTTAAATGGAATAATCATTTTTTAAAAAGAAAATTTCTCATCGCTTTTAAAACCCACTATTCCATAAAATGAAATAAGCAGTGTTTAATCATCCACAGTAATGTGCAGGTTTTCAGTTCTTTTGAGATTTTAACAGTTTCCACCCACTAGCCTCACCTAACCAGTTCTGTTGAGATTTCAACAGTTCCCACCCTCACCTAATCAGTTCTGTAAAGATTTCAACTGTTTCCACCCACTACCCTCACCTAATCAATTCTGTAGAGATTTCAACTGTTCTTGGTGCTCCAGCTCTGCCTCACACTGTGCCATCATCTCAGCTACCTGCTTGTACAGGTGATGGCTGTCGCCCAGGGAAACCACGAAGTTTTCCATGGCCTGTCAACAAAAACATACATTAAAATATTACTTTAAAAATTGGCAATTTTTATTTTTAGAAGCTGATTGTTAGCAGGGGAGATACTTTAATTATCTCCCTTTTATCTTTTTTTTTTTAATCATTAGTGAAAGGGATAAGAAAAATATTTAAAATTTGACATTTTGAAATTAGTTTATTTTTAAACTAAAGCAGTAGTGTCAAAGGAATGCTAGTAATCTAAAAAGTGTTGATTTAATATACCTTCCTCAAATGTAACATGGCTTCTGGGAGTCTTCCAAACAGCATCAACAACTTGCCCATGTTTGCTAGCAAATAGCCAACACAAGGGTTGTAGGGTGGGTGTAAAATCCTGAAATTAAACAAAATAAAAACACAGATATCTAAATTTTTCAAATAAATTATGATGTATGAACAAATTACATAGCCAACACAAGGGTTGTAGGCTTTAGGGTGGGTTCAAAATTTTAATTTTAACAGCACAAAAAAAACAAATAACTAAATAATCAAGATATGAATTAATAAGATAACAATGAAAATAACAGTTCTCTAAGAGCATAAAAATTAAAGCAAACAAAAGAGCCTTAAATTCTGTTGAAGAAATTCTACAATATGGATTCAGCAGTAAAAAAAAAAACTCACGAATAGGCTTTGTAGTTTTTTATACCAAACAGCAAAGCTGTCTCCCACTGCTCCGCATCTATTGCAGCATCAAATGCTTTGCCAGTAAGTCTTACCAGTTGCACATTGCCAAATGGAAGCTTCACCTCATTCAAACACTTTTCACACACCTCCAAAATCTGTTTGGGATTCACTGAAGTAAAAAAACAAGAATCAGAATTTTATTTTGCATATATTATTGATTACAGTTTTTGTTTTGACTTATCAAAATACTACAACACTCAACCATAAATTTTATTAATAAATAAAACATTAACCTTAGTTATTTTAGTCAAGTCTTATGAAGAGAGGGTTTAAAATAATAACAAAATTAAAAGGTGTAAACATTTTGAACTTGTAATAGAAAAATGACATCTTGCTAGGATGACCAAATCAACCAGAGAACTGAGAAGGGATTAAAGCTAGGGATGATGGTCTACATTAGATAAAAAGTGTGGCTCACAATACCTGAATCTTTCCTCATGGTCTCAACTTTCTCAATGCAATCCTTTACTTTTGTCAATTCATCTAAAAAAAAAATTAAGTAATAAATTGAACTAGGGAAGAAACCTTATTTCATCTTAATTAAATATAAAATACACTAAAATTTGTAAGATCTTTTATATTTTTTAATGTGCAGTATAAACATAAAATCAAAGCTAAAAATCGAAAAAATTATGTAAATTTTAACAATAAGTAGAAATAATTGTTATCTACCTTTTGAGCTACCTTCTATTGATAACATCATGGCATCCTAGAACAAAATGCATTTGTTATATGTTTAAGTTTCTATTTCAGGAAAAATTATTCTTCTTATCCATAACAGAAAATAATTAAACATGGTTACTTTGAGAAGCTCAGACAAAAAAGTTTCAATTTAATCTGTGAACAAAAAGAGCAGAGGGGCTGAGATGAACTCTGTTGGTTACACTAATGACTTACAGATTCCTTGTTAGAGCAGCGATCGCAGGTACAGGTAAAATAATACTGTTGCTGCAGTTGCTGCTGCCTCTCCTCTATAGTGGCCAGTGGATCTACATAGCTCAGGAACACCTGGGTTAAAAGACAGTTTCATCACTTGTCTGTTTTATTGTATTATATTGTATTGTGCCAATGAAACAATCTGATGTCAGTGAAACAATCTGATGTCAGTGAAACAATCTGATGTCAGTGAAACAATCTGATGTCAGTGAAACAATCTGATGTCAGTGAAACAATCTGATGTCAGTGAAACAATCTGATGTCAGTGAAACAATCTGATGTCAGTGAAACAATCTGATGTCAGTGAAACAATCTGATGTCAGTGAAACAATCTGATGTCAATAAAACAATCTGATATCAATGAAACAAATTTTAGTAAATAAATACTTAAATAAAAGGTTGGGTCATCTGAAAAGAGTGTTGAAATATCAGAAAGGTGAAAGTGGTGTATGAACAAAGCAACAAATAAAAATGTCTAATAGGCAGGACTAACTTAGATAGCAGAGGTAGAGACAGATCTATGACAGCCTGGATATCAGACTTAAAAGAAGAAAACATTAGATTAGTCTAATGGAACAAGTTGATTGCTGATACAGTACTTTACTATCCCAAGCTAGGGTGATGGATCCCTTAAATTTTGTTATAATATTAATAATATAAACCGTGTACAAAATAAATTCGTCAGTCATAACACAGTCTCCATTTTTTAGGGGTTTTGAGTTAATAGTTTACAATTGTTCTATTATAAGGCAAATCGCCTAAGTCATGAGCCAATCAGAAAACTGTTGTTGTTTTTAAACTGCACCATAGTGACATAGTAGAAGTAATACTTAAGTTATTCAGGGGGTTTTTTTTCCAGTTTTCTCAAAACATGAAAACATGACTTAGGCTTTTGTGCTATGACAGTGTATTTTACTTACATTTGTGAAGGAATCACCTTCAATGTCTGCAACTGCCCTGACGGTCACATTGATTCCATCAAAAGATGCCACAGCATTAGGCCAGCAGCAATGGTCCAACACTGAGGGACTGAAACACAACAGTATACTGATCTCATCTTTAGAAGACATAGACAAATACATTAAGGACCAAAATAAGCAGCAATGGTCCAACACAGAGGGACTGAAACACAACAGTATACTGATCTCATCTTTAGCAGACATAGACAAATACATTAAGGACCAAAATAAGTAGCAATGGTCCAACACTGAGGGACTTCTTCTTCTTCGTTCTTAATTATTAGTGTTGAAGGGGATCGAGATTTATCTGCCAGTGGGTTTGAACTCGAGACTTTGTTTGAATTTATCAACCATGAGCTTTTTGCCGACTCGACCACGCCTCCAACACAATTAAGCGTTACGTGTCAACTGGTTATGCGCCAGTGAGGGACAAAGAACAAACTACAAGGCAGCAGTTGTTTAATTTTGGAGTTGTCTCTCCTAGAAGAGTGGCTGTACCCAGCTAACGAGCCTCATCTGCCCGAGGGTTCGAACTCGAAACTTTTCGGTTTAGCAACCATGAGCTTTACCGACTCGACCACGCCGACCCCGACTGAGGGACTGAAATACTGATCTCATCTTTAGAAGACATAGACAAATAAATTAAGGACCAAAATAAACAGCAATGGTCCAACACTGAGGGACTGAAACACAACAGTATACTGATCTCATCTTTAGTAGACATAGACAAATACATTAAGGACCAAAATAAGCAGCAATGGTCCAACACTGAGGGACTGAAACACAACAGTATACTGATCTCATCTTTAGTAGACATAGACAAATACATTAAGGACCAAAATAAGCAGCAATGGTCCAACACTGAGGGACTGAAACACAACAGTATACTGATCTCATCTTTAGTAGACATAGACAAATACATTAAGGACCAAAATAAGCAGCTATGGTCCAACACTGAGGGACTGAAACACAACATACTGAAATAGTACTCAAGTTATAGGCTTTTGAAAAATTAAAGTAGAAAAAGTACCACTTCCAGTTATTGGAAATCGCTCAAAAGTTGATACTGATCTACGATTTTGATAAAATGCTTATATATGAAATTTCATCAACCTAGCGGTGACGGTACTCAAGTTATCATGTTTACACACACACAGACAGACAGAAAGACAGACACACACACAGACATACGGACAAGATTGCAAAAGATTATTTTTTTTTGCACGATTACAAGACTCTCTATAATTCGTATATACGAGAAAGTAAAAATCAAGTATAAAGTGGTGTCTATTACCTTGTATATACAGCCACACCCACATCTTGCAAAAGCTCATCAGCAATTGTAAATGTGTTAATTACCATCTGAGGATATAGAATGATTTTAATTAAAATGACATTAAAACCAATGTAAGAAACATTTTATAGGGATTATCGGATAAGATAATTGAAATAAGCACTAACATTAATGTCTTTTTAAAAAATAAAAATAATTGATTCTGTTCATAATAGGGTTATAGCCATTGATATTACACTTGATTTGTTTTGTAACCTTCTAATATTTTGAAATTCATCCAAGATTTTTCCTCAACCTTAACCATATTAAACAAATGGAGGTAAAGTTATAACAAGACCTTGCCAAAAATTTCTAGCAAAGTATCTTCATTGGGAAGCTGCAGAATACCATGTGTATAGCCTCGTAAAAAATCTGCAGCTATTTTAAACAGCTCATAGCGTGATGTGTCTGTTTTTATTTTATCCGCATCTGAAGAAAATTTGGATAATTTGTAATTTACATAAAATAATTTTCTAAAAAGGATATCATTTAATGGCTATACATCTGACTCACTAAAAATATTTTTTTTCAAAATAAACATTACAAATTTTTTATACATAAATCACAAGGAAAAAATAAAATTGCTGTTTCTATATTTCTTTTCATAAATAATAATATAATAGTAACAAATTATAATGAAAGATGTTAAATACTAGAACAATTTTGAATATAATTAAAAGTCATTTCACATTCGATTAGAGTCATTTTTTAGGTTGTAAGAAAGTTGAAAAGGATAAATCTTTTCTTGTTATGTCTCAAGATTCTAAGCTTGTGTCCAAAATATAGAAGAATGTGTGAAGTATACCGTTTAACTACTTATAAAGGTTTAAATGGGATGCATTTAAGTTGACAGATCTTATTAGTGTATTTGTAGATATTGAACATACTCCCTCATAGTGTTAAGGAGACCCAAAATCTGTAGTAAGCTTTTAAACAAATGTTAGTACTAGTGTTCTTACGTGACATCAAGTCATTGAAAGATCGTAGGCAAGGAGATTCATCTTTACTGCGTTTTTCCCCAGCAGAGCCTGTCTGTAAGAAATATTATTAAAATAAGGTTTTTTCTACTTTTATTATACATGGGTGAGTTTTAAATGTTTTATAAATTTACACTAGAATGTATTATAGCAAAGTAAATTGATAAGTTTTTAAATTTAGAACTAAGTTTTATTAACACTTAAGTGTCAGATAATACAGCTGCAAAGTTGAGTCAATTCACTGTTAAATTTAATTAGATTAATTACATAACACATTTTAAAAAATTAAAATGGTGCAAAATTTTACATTAAAAAATGTTCATGATTTTTTTATTGGCTTATAAAAATATTATTTACCAGGTAACGAATTAGAAGTCTTAAATAAAGTCGAATACTGTCTGTTGGTGTGTCTGGTACTCTCTTCATAACTTTACACTCCAGTTTGTGAATCTTCCAGTCTTCTTTCTGTCAGAACAAATTTGTTATGTTGTGAAAACATTTTTAGTAATTTCACAAGTGAACAAACAAATTACTTGTGGGAATCAATTACTTGTAAAAAAAAATATTTTAGCAAGAAAATTAGTTTTTGTATGTTAATAAAGGCCATTGCTTAGAATCATTATCAAGCATTATCAACATAATATTGAGCATTTTGGTTAAGTAAAGATGAGGTTAGGGTCAGTGGCTAAAGTGGGAGCATGAATCCCATCGACCATATAGATGTTTCATATAATTAGACCTATATTAGTAAAATTTATATATTATGTGGATGGCTTAAGAGAGCAATTTCTCTAAATGAATAACAAAATATGGAGTCCAATACAAGGGTTTTATTGTCCCTGCCATCTACACATAGGAAAGTAAAGTTTCTTTTTCAGACCTGACATACAATAGGGCAGAGAAAGTAGAGTTCCAATGTTTCTGTGGCCTTAATATTTAAAGATAGTGTGGTCAGTTTTATAAACTCTGCAGCCTTTAATTTCCTTACCTTGGAGTCAGCTACTCTTTAGAGCTGAGTAGACTCAGGGATGCTTCTAACTAATGAATATCATCATCTAAACCAGTAAATAAGTTTACTTATGATTACCTGACAAGGAACTCCACAGTACATCACTTTTTTACATGCTCCACATTTTAAAAGCTTCTCCTCTGTGCTGTAATTAAATAAAACAAGGTACATATTCATTAAAGCTGCTTGAAACATTAAGATCTAGACCTGGTTGAACAATATAGCCTTATTATAATGATATTCTTCCCATTCTCAATCATCATTGTGCGCTATACATTGTGTGGTCTTGTGTATTACAGTAAAAAGCAGAAGAACCCAATGCCAACTGTAAGTTGATTTAGAAAACAATTAAAAACTAAAATTAAAAATTCATAAAAATAATTGTCTAAATACTAAATGTACATTAAATCACAGGTAATCAAATGTCTGGCTTTTTTTTGTGATGATGTTTGACAGAAGGGAGCGAGCGGTCATAAGAATCTGTCATGATTATTATTCTGATTAGGGCCCAAGAAAAAATGATTTCTTTTTTTTTATAATTTTATGATAGATGACCTCTTCTTGAATCTGGCAGATTATTATCATCATTATTTTATTGCCGATTAAGAAATAAACAAGTTCTTTAAGAATATTTATATTAGGCATATTACATTATTAGGCCTAATTAATAAGGCCGATGCTAGCCGGAAAAAAGATATGCATGCACAATGGAGAGAAACTACACGGCAATGTTTTCGATGGTACTGCACATGCGTGTGTTTACAACCACAGAACCCTAACACCAACCCTAATCCTATCACTAGCCCTAATCCTGTCCCTAACCCTAGCCCTAATTCCAGCCCTAACCCTAGCTATAGGTCACTGCGCATGCGCAGAGCTATCTTTTGCCCACTAAGTGGAGACGTTGGGGAGAAAAAACTTCTTCTGAGTAGTCACTTCGAATTAATAATTAAGATTAATTAATAATTATTAAGATTAATGCCTTTACTTTTACTTTTTGGCAAAACTCCATTTTACGGGGTAGGTTTTCCCCGCTTGACGTTCACCTCCAGTTGAGCGTATTTTATTGTAAACACAACCGAAACAAACAAAAACGTTAGGAAAACACAGATCTACTTATTTTTTTTATAAATGCGATTTTTTATTAGAAAAGGTAAAAAAAAACATAAAAAAGCATTAGAACTGTTCCAATTAACTATCGTGTGATCGTCAGCGGGAGAAAAATTCTTACACCCTTACACGGTCACGGGTTCACCGTGAGTTCACATTGACATTATTTATCAGCATATGTCATAGCTCGGGCAATAGCTGTTTGAAATTGTGTTGGCCTCAGTTTTAGGGTCATTGTAAGTTCATTAATGTTTATTTATAGTATTATGCCTGGGAGATACTTGTAACAGTACAAATTTTGAGTTACGTTTTTTACGTATTTCACCCATTGCCATGAAAATTCTGACGCACGAACATTGCACATTCAATATTCTAAATCTGGATTTTTCTCAACTTTTAACAAAAGTAAATTATCAAAATCTAAAAAAAAGTCAGTCTCTTTGTTGTTTTTTTATTCATTTGTTAAAACAAAAATACAATACAAATAATAAATCGTGTTTTCCTAATGTTTTGGTGTGTTTCGGTTGTTATAAATTATAAAATAATAAAATACGCTCAACTGGAGGTAAACAAGAAGTCAAGAAGCGGAGAATAAAAAACGCTAAAATGGAGTTTTAACTTATTTATTTATTAATATTTAATAAAAAATTTATTATTTTTTTTACTTTTTAAATTGTTTTTACCTTTTAAAGCAAAAATTGCATCGATCTTCAGTGAACTTTTTGCAAATGACATGCACATAGGGCTTCGCCTGTATGATAACAGATCCTTTCTTCCAGCCCATTTTGTTTTATTTTGACAATGCTTGAAGTCTAGCCTACTGAAATAAATTGTTTTGTTTTGTAAAATAGGCATAAGACTTTTTGTGTTTTTTATTTATCGTTTACTTTTCCTGTACTGAGCTTAAAAGCTGCCATGTGAATTATTTTTAAAACGAAAAAAAATCGTACAATAAAAAATAATTCAATAAAACAAAATTGCCTCTACTTCTTAAAAACTACTTAGTCTACATCTATGTTATAATATTAAAACTTCAAATAAAATTGGCATTTAGATTCCTCTATACAATAAAACTAAACACTATAAATAATTGATATGAATATAGAATATAGATATCTAGATCTATGTATTCTATTTTTTTTTTATATATATAAACATACATTAATATATTTAAAAATTTGGTCCAGTAGTCGATCGATCAAAACAAAAAATTAGCGTTTAAAAAAGAAAAACAGTGAAACTTGATAGACCAAATGCCATTTATTCAAATACCGGATTTGTGTCGCTGGGCTGTGAATTCGCAATGACCTTGGGGTTCTAGCGAATGTTGACGTATAGATCAATTCAAAGTAGCCAGCGAATGCTTTATTTACGCCTATGTGATTCAGTGTTTCTTCCAGGCATCTCTTCGTAAATTTTAGTCCGCCCCCCCCCCCCCCCCCCCGCCCCCACCCCCGAAAATTTTAAGTGCCCACCTTCCCCGGAAAAAAAATTCTAGTATAAACGCTGATGTGATTGTTTTATATTAACAGTTAATTTCACATAAACAATATAAAGTATAATTTATGATGTATGTCTCGCATATAAAATGGCTGCTTTCTTGAGCAACATTATATTTTTTTATTTCATTGGGAGTCCATATAGTCGTCAGTCTCCCAGCTTCCTTTCCTGCTTTGATCCATAAAGTCAGAACATTTTCTGTAGAAGATGTTCGATGTCCAAGACATCTCATTCTCAATGCATGCCTTGCAAAATGTCTCTGTAAATAAGTTAGATTCTTTGCATGGGTGGTTTTTACAAAGATGCGTCAAATTTAGACCTTGAAGTCAGGGGCGTAGCGAGGGGGGGGGGGGGGCGGACCGCACCGGGTGACACCATTTAGGGGGGTGACACCAAGGCAAAAGTAACAGAATATGTAGAGAAAAACTTGAGGGGGGGGTGCAAATCGAAAGTTTGAGGGGGGGGGTGCAAATCGAAAACTTGAGGGGGGGGGGGGTGCAAATCGAAAACTTGAGGGGGGGTTCAAATCGAAAACTTGAGGGGGGGTGCAAATCGAAAATTTGAAAGTTTGTCCCCGGTAAGGGTCGCTACGCCTCTGGGGGGTGACACCATTAAGTGCCGCACCGGGTGACACCCGACCTCGCTACGCCACTGCTTGAAGTGTTTGTGAAAGTGTTTAAAAAGCACCGTTAAACGGTGGGGGTTGTTTGAATGCGTTTATAATATGTATAGGCTTATAATATTTTAAGGCTTGAACGATTAATTGCGCGATGTTCGTTCAGAAACCATATAGGTCTAACAGTGTTTACAAATGTATATATTGTTCAAACGCGCACTTGGTTTATTTAATTACAGGGAGTGCTTATCGTTCTCAGCTTGAAAACTTGAAGAAGAAAAAAATTCAGTCTTTCAGACAGCCTCTCCCAAAGCACACCAGAAACCCTAAAAATAATGCACTGCGATCAGGGTTTCTTTCAGACATTTTTCTATTGGAAGTGCGGGGGGGGGGGGGGGAATTGAAAATTCCGGGGCACAATTAAAAAATTAAAATTTCCGGGGTGGACACTGGTTAAAGTATATATTTTGTATATAAATTATTTATTTTTATTTTTCATCCGGAGCGGTGGGTGTGTGTTTGTGGGGGGTGGGGGGGGGGGGGTAGTGCAGTATGTGGGCTATAGTGAAGTTAGCTGGTTATGTTCAGTATGAACTATAATGAGGTCATCTGGTTGAAATTATTCCCAGAGAAATTATTGGTATAGTTGACATTGTAGTATTATGTAGGCTAGGAGTGTAGATTGTCTAGAATGTAGATTTGTCCTTGCTTTTCGTGCTGGCATAGGTATAGTTGTGAGTACCTGGAGGGGGACTTTCCCCTTTAACAATGCAATATGTAGGCTACTAGGTTATATAAATGTATCTATGATATACCTATGCTAAGAACACTCCGCACGCCTCAATAAAAAGCCGAAGCCTTCAACGACTTTGCTTCTGTAATACCGACCCTGTTCGCGTGCTAACATGCGCTCCTAAAAAGGAAAATATATGCTAAATTAATTCCGAGTTCCTCGCGCGATATTTCAGTCAACTTGCTCAACAGTTATTAAATCATACTGCTTGCGACGTGTATTCGCGTACAGATAAAAGGAATCGATAATATAAAAAAAGACAAATATACAACGCTCATTTATCTATCTCAACTTCGGGACGATCGATACCATTATTTGAGAAAGGTTAAGAGAGTTGATTTCACCCTGTTGTTTTATTTAGCCGTGTATTGAACGAGAGAAAGGATTGACGTCCATAACAGCTGCTCGCTTGTGGGGAAATGGGTCAATCGCTGACGCATCGCAGAATCCTACGGTGACTATTTTCATGCGGAAGTAGATTTGCGACGCAATAAAAAAAGATTGCTTTTGTATAGGCAACACATTGTCTTATATAACGTGCCCTATTTTCAACTATTTTGGTCTTTGAATGCTTTTCTTCTTATTTATCGATTTTAATCTGACAATAGCACGCGTACGCCTATATGTAGGCCTATAAATTATATAAACACACATATAGCCTATATATTTATAGGGTAAAGCAAAACTGCCAGTTTAAATGTTTCCATCGATACTGTTATTCAGGTGTGGGTCTACAGGGGAAAATCCCGATGGGCCCCCACGTAAAAATCCTGGTGGGTCCCCATGTAAAATCAAGATGGCCCAAAGTTTAAAATCCCGGTGGGTCTCAGAGGCGTAACGACCCTTCCCGGCTCCCGGGGACAAACTTTCAATTTGCCCCCCCCCCCCCCGTGACAAAATTTTAATTTGGCGCCCCCCCCCCCCCATATATGTTTTATATTTATAATGCAAAACTGCAGCTAAAAGGAGATTTTAATTTTTTTCCCCACCCATTTTGACGCCCCCTATAGTCGGCGCCCGGGGACATATGTACCTCCCTCCCCCTCGCTACGCCTTTGGTGGGTCTCCATGAACAGTGCTTTGATTATAAAAACAATTGTCGCGTAAATTTCCGTCAAGCTGAGGATGATGATCAATCTCTGATGGGGGAAAATGCACAATTAGAATTTAAATCTGGGGTTTTGGGCACCTTTAAAAAATTTCTTCGGGCCTCTTGGACACAGCCACCCTTACTGATGTTATAGATTTGATCCCGCAAAAAAAAAAAAGTTAGACGGAAGTCTGGAATGCAGTGAGCGTCCGAAAATCTGAGAGGAGCTAGTCGTTTTAAGCGACATCAGCCTCTGTTACTGTCAACAGCAACAATCAATGCTCTACGTTGTACCAAACGGCTGGGCATAGTGCGGACCACATTATCTCTTCATATGCCGAGGTCACAGAAACAAGTGAACTCTACTTCACTTGCCCCATAGACCGTCAGGTTTGAAAGGGAAACTTTTACTTTACGTTGTACCAAAAAGTGCTCAAAAGCAGAACGAAGACAATCGATCCCACGATTGAAACAGGCCTACAGTAGTAAAATAGATTGCAAACATCCAGTGTTAAATTCTAGATATTGCGGTTAAGTTGGTTGGTCGTTCAGATGAGAATATCAGAAACCACGTAGACACAGACAGGCAAGCGTTACACACCCTCAGCAGTGTTTCTTCCAGGCGTCTCTTCGGGGGGAACAGACCCCCCCTACCCCCCGAAAAAAAAGTCTACCGTCAGAGATACCCACGTATTATTATCTTTTACGCGGAAAGATTCTGCCCGAATGATCAAGTTGTTCGTAGACCACAAAACCCACAAATCTCTCTCCTTTATTAATCTTTCTCCGAGTGCGTAGTTTCCATGACATGTTCGTATAGGTTTTTGTCGGGTACTATTTTGGTGACAATATCTTCTTGAAGATGGTGATGTTCTTCTCTGAATCACCATCATCATTCCTGTAGACCCCTTGTGAAGCTTAGGGACGCAACCATACCTCTCTATCGCAGAGGCGTAGCGAGTGCGGGGCGGGTGGTGCGGACCGCACCGGGTGACACCATTTAGGGGGGCGACACCAATGCAAAAAAAGCTTACACACATACATGTACGTGTATACGGCACATATTTAAATTATAGGCCTATGTAGGCCGACACAAACACACACACACACATATATATATATATATATATATATATATATATATATATATATATATATATATATATATATATATATATATATATATATATATATACTTTGTTTCTTGTGGGGGGGGGGGGTGACACCAAGAAGTGCCGAACCGGGTGACACCCGACCTAGCGACGCTACTGCTCTACCGTACTCGGTTTTGAAATTCCACCTAGTTGGGCCAACAACATTCCAACATTCCAACTGCTTCTTCTTCACTGAAAATTGATCTTTTCCCTTCTCTGAATACTTTTCGATAATCTTTAGAGTCGTTACAGCATTTTTATGCCCTTCTTTTTTTTAGTGCGAAAGGATGCCACACCAATTCTGGAGTCGTATTCCATCAGTGCCTTTGTGGACAATATAAAGCCTGTTTGTGAAGTGCAAATTGCCAAAAGCGTTGGGCTAAAGATAAACTCCGGAAAAACCAAGCTAATGAAAATAAAAACCAAAAGTGCTCTCAAGACCTTTGCGAATGGAGCAGAGCTAGAAGAGGTCGAAGACTTTAAGTACCTCGGCAGCTATATATCAGCAAATGGCAGCATGGAGAAAGAAATTGCCACCAGAATAGCAATGGCAGCACAAGCTTTCAACAGACTCGCTAAGATCTGGAAATCATCCTCACTACAGCAGAGAACTAAAATAAGGATCTATAAGTCTAATGTACGTTCTGTACTCCTCTATGCTGCAGAGTCATGGAAACTAAACAAGAAAGTAGACAGCCGACTCAGAGGCTTTGAAAGAAGATCCCTCCAACGCATCCTCAGGATAAAGTGGGACGACAAAGTCCCGAACAAGGAAATATGGCGAAGGACAGGATTAAACGACATTGTCTCAGAAGTTAGAACGAGGAGATGGAGATGGCTGGGCCATGTCCTACGCATGAGCAAAAAAAGACTCCCCAACATGGCGCTGAAGTGGAACCCACCCGGAAAGAGAAGTAGAGGAAGACCACTGGGAACATGGAGGAGGGAGATGGAAGAAGAAGTACAGGCTACTGGCAAAACCTGGCATGAACTAAAGTGGCTCGCCCAGGACAGGGTGGAATGGCGGAGATTTGTTGTTGCCCTATACTCCACAGGGAGTGATGAGGATTAAGTTGTGAAGTGCAGCATTTTTTTTCGAGCCCGGATTATAGCAATAGCTCACCCGTTACTAGTCTAGTATACCCAGGTGCGTAGCGAGGGGGGGGGGGGGCGGGGGTGCGGACCGCACCGGGTGACACCATTTAGGGGGGGGGGGGTGACACCAAGGCAAAAAATAGCAAAATATATAGAGAAAAACGAGGGGGGGGGGTGGTACAAATCGAAGGTGAGGGGGGGGTGCAAATCGAAAGTTTGAGGGGCGGTGCAAATCGAAAACTTGAAAGTTTGTCCCCGGGAAGGGTCGCTACGCCTCTGGGGGGGGGGGGGTGACACCATCAAGTGCCGCACCGTGTGACACCCGACCTCGCTACGCCACTGAGTATGCCCAGCATAAGTCAACAGTACCATGATGTGCAAAACGACCAGCATATTTCTACATGGCCCATCTTTCCTGCCCCCTCAGGTACCGATGTTAATTTTCCTGGTCGCAAGAACGGTTGTCGGCGATATATGGCTTCCGTTCGGCTTTCACAACTTCGCGTCATGTCTCTTTGTTTTGAAGATTCTTTTTCTTCCAGGACATAATTTTTCAAATGTTCTCTGCGTTTTTTTTTTTTTTGTAATGAGCTTTGTTGTACAGGTTCGGGTTATAAACCCAACATGTAGGGTCCCCTTTCAACTCAGGATAGCTGCCCTTCTTATCGGGCAAGATTTCCTGTCTTTTATGGATCCCTCCACCACCCGCAAGGCAGTAAGTTCTGACCCAGGATATTGGATTTCTCCGGTACATACCATGATATCTAGTGGGCGTTTTTCTATTCGCCACTGCGCATGAAAGTCGTGTTAAAAGTGATCGTCCATAAACGACTTCCACACTCCAAATACTAATATAGAAATTCCCCATTATAAAAACCTGCTAATGCTACTACATGCAATAATAGATGTGGGTGGTAAAATTGGCTAAAATTGTGTGACGACATTAAAGATAACCCATATAAAAACATTGTTCCATGTTGCAACCAGTGTATTAGAATTCTTTGCAAAATTGAAACAGGGTTTCTTTCGAACTTTTATTATCCGGGGAAGGGGCACTTGAAACGTCCGTTCGTGGAAACTGGTTAAACTAGGTCTAGGCCTATATATTTTATATGTATGTATATATATATATCATTTACTATATTTACAATTTCGTCCGGGGATGGTGGACGTGCAGTGCCCCTTCCCTTGAGAGATGACTGAAAGTGAAAGAAGCACGGAATCGAACCTACCCCTCCTATGACAAATCCATGGTTTCTTTCAGACATTTTTCTCCGAGGGTAGGGGGCACTTTAAATTCTGAATTGGTGGTGGACGTTATCCGAGCAGCACTGACCCCCCCCCCACTGATAATGAACCCAACTCTGTTGTGCCACCTTATTAATCTTAATGGCATTTTCGGGATTCGATCGTAAATAAGTCACTGATATTCGTACCTAGAGCATCTGTAGTCCCAAATAGCATCGATGAGATGCAAAAAAAAAAAAAAAAAAAAAATAATCGAATTGGCTTTTGATGTTTCCTGCTTTACTTTTTCATCGTTGATGTATTCATAATTTATTCCAAACTAGAAACAACGTTCTTTTTTTTTGTAACCTAAAAAAAACCCTAATTTTTACAAGGTTTTATAAACCTGATTTCCCAGACTGTCGAGTTATCGTCATCAATTTTTCGCCTACTTTTACTGAACCAATTAAATTCAAACTTTGCTCACATATGAATCTGATAATAATACAATGATCTATACATTCGTCCGATTTAGGTATTGGACAAATTATTGGTTTTGTTCCTCGACTCAGAAGTAGTTAGATCTATAAATTATATGCCTAAAGTTATGGACTCTGTAGCATGCCAAGACTAGGCCCACTCTTTTCCTTTGTAACGATTTTGCGCTAAGGATTGTGGGCAAACGACGTCACCTATATCTCATTTGCATATTCATTATTGTGCTCGCCATATTGGTAGCACTGAGATAGGGCTGAAAGCCATTTATAATCTGTAAATATCTTAGCCATCGGTTTATGTGTAATTGATTTTCAAGTCTCATTTTGTTGGACATTTTTTTACCCACGAGAACGGGCCTGCGTAAGTATCTTATGCACTAAAATATTTTGCTTAATTCATAACTATGTCAAGGGTAGTCGATCTTTGTTCTGTGATCGGAATTTTTCATGATGCGAAACTGCACCGACGGCTTGAACTTCAAGCTGAACTGTAGAATAACTTGGTTGTTAGATGCTTAATGCATTAAGAAAACTATTTGTGTAGAATCTGTCTTTGTTTATAGTTTGGTTTTGAACAATAATCTGGACATAGTTTAGAAATAGCACGTCTAGATTTAGATCTCAAGATCTAACATTCTAACTGTACTAATCTAACTGGTCTATGGATCTCTGTCAGTTCAAATCGAGAATAGCAAAGATAATCTCATGGTGTGGGTCTTGAGAGGCAGTGGAATAAGTGAACCTGATCTGGATTCTAGATCTAGAATAGATCAACATCTGACCTCACTCAAACTAGATCTAGAATCTAGATTAGTCTAAGATTAGGCCTGATTTAGATTATCTCCATTCCAAGATCTACAGAATCTAGAATAGAATATTTCTCATTAAATCTAAAATTTACTCAGCTTTTCAATTTAAACATGACCACTGTATAATAGACATCCTTATTTAATCCATTAGGCACTAATTTTGAAGTTTTTAGTTAGTTTTAAAATAAATTACTTAGGGTCTAATTTAATATTTGTCACTCACTGCTATGGCACGACACACCTTTCCATTACAACCATGTTATCTTCTTCTTTGTTCTTAATTTTAGTGTTTGAAGGGATCCCCTCCAACAATTATATACATGTCAACTGGTTATTGGCCATTGACTCAGATTTCAGCCTGCTTTTCTTTTTGAATTTGCTTCCATAGCCTTTGTCCAACCAAGAATAAACTACAAGGCAGCAGTGGTTTGATTTTCGTCTGTAAACTGTCCTCACGGACAGCTGCTTTTGTGCAAAGATGGGGAGGATAATCGCCCTTCACGAGCTACTGATAGTGTTTTAAAGCAAAATATTTTCAGTCGCAGCATCGGTAGTGTCAAATTCACAAATTATGAATTACTGAAAAGTAAAAAATAAAACATGCTGCAGGTCGGCTCGTATATTTTAAAAGGGGTGTGAGTTCAATAAGCTTATGGTAGCAAATGTGAAATGAGATAATATACTGTAACTACTAGACTAGATCAAACTTTTCTTTTGTTCTGCTAATGAGCATGTCAAACCTAACCAAGTTCAACACTAACAACCCAGCACCTAAACAAGTCCTTTAGGCATATTTATTTTTTGGAAGTCAGACTCAAGTTATCTAATACTCTTGACTCTGCCTTTTAGATAAATATTGGAGCCTAGATATCCAGGCCTTTAATACTACAACTTAAAATTAAGTTAAATTGTAGCTTTGTCCAAGTAATAATTTTTATTGGGCGGGCTAATGTGATTTTTTTATCTCTATCTTTCTGTTAATCTACTTTTCTGAACATTGAATATATTAATTTATTCATGCCTGAATCCTTTCTTCAGGCCACTACTAACCAAGAGGAATAGGCATATAAACTATATGTTGTAGACTACTATAATTTTCTTTAGGGCTAACAATGCAAATACATAAAAATATACCTAATACCAATAAAATAATGGCATAAGCTTCTTTTTTTTCTCATTGTAATAAGTTTTTGTTAATTTACAGATACTTGCGGTTCGTTCAGAGGGTCTATGATAAAACCTTCAATGTTTGTGCTCCGGCAAAATGTCCACCATTTCGGGGATTGGCAGTAAAGGGGAGAAGAATAAAAGTAAATACAAGGGCATTGACATCAACACTCTATATAAGGGGAAAAGTGTCGAGACTCAGAAGTCAACTGGTAATATATTAATAGTATTAGAACACTAACTTTCTTGAATTTTCACTTTTTGTATTTCATTTATTTCTATTTCATTTTTCTTTTTACTAACAGTTCCTCGACAACATGGTCTTCAAAGCTTGGGCAAAGTGTCCAGCTTGCGGCGCATGCCGCCCCCGGCAAACCTACCTAGCTTAAAGAGTGAGAACAGCGGAAACGACCCCAGTATCAGCCTTGTCCCGAGTGGGGGTTCGGGTATGATTATTTTACAAATTTGTTCGTTAGATCCATCTTTTTTGGTGGGTTGGCTTTAATAGATTTTTGTCCATTTTTGTAGGATGGGTGTCGAAGGAAGAGAAGAAAGAGGGCAGTGGAAGTGGTGCTCAGCCGCCATTGTCGCAGCCGCTGCAGGCCACGCCCACGCAGCAGCAGCAAGTTCCAGCACAGCAAGTTGCTACCAAGGTACAGGCTTCTTATCAGTTTGCATGTTTTTTATTGGCCTTATTTTTTTTAAAGCCTGTTATTTTGATACCATCGTGAAATTAAATTAAAATTAACTTAAAAGAAAATGGAAGAACCAAATGATGGCCTTTGATGACTGAAAGATCATATTTTTGTGATGCACATTTCATCACCCACTTGCTGATGGTTTTTATATTAACTTGTTGTAGTTTTGTTTCAAATGCCTATTCCTTATTCTTTAACTACTTTGTTTAAAGTGGTATGAACATTTACTCTTGTGTTTGGATTGGAATGGGTATTTAACTTGTTTTGTGTTTCTTTCCCTTTGGTTTATCTAGTCCTTTAATGGCATTCATACTTTCTCAACCTCTTATACTGGAAATAAAATTATTTTTATAGTGCAACCATATTTTTCTATCAGTTTGCATGTTTTTTATTGGCCTAACTTTTTTAAAGCCTGTTATTTTGATACCATCGTGAAATTAAATTAAAATTAACTTAAAAGAAAATGGAAGAACCAAATGATGGCCTTTGATGACTGAAAGATCATATTTTTGTGATGCACATTTCATCACCCACTTGCTGATGGTTTTTATATTAACTTGTTGTAGTTTTGTTTCAAATGCCTATTCCTTATTCTTTAACTACTTTGTTTAAAGTGGTATGAACATTTACTCTTGTGTTTGGATTGGAATGGGTATTTAACTTGTTTTGTGTTTCTTTCCCTTTGGTTTATCTAGTCCTTTAATGGCATTCATACTTTCTCAACCTCTTATACTGGAAATAAAATTATTTTTATAGTGCAACCATATTTTTCTATCAGTTTGCATGTTTTTTATTGGCCTAACTTTTTTAAAGCCTGTTATTTTGATACCATCGTGAAATTAAATTAAAATTAACTTAAAAGAAAATGGAAGAACCAAATGATGGCCTTTGATGACTGAAAGATCATATTTTTGTGATGCACATTTCATCACCCACTTGCTGATGGTTTTTATATTAATTTGTTTTAGTTTTGTTTCAAATGCCAATTCCTTATTCTTTAACTACTTTGTTTAAAGTCGTAGGAACATTTACTCTTGTGTTTGGATTGGTATGGGTATTTTTCTTGTTTTGTGTTTCTTTCCCTTTGGTTTATCTAGTCCTTTAATGGCATTCATACTTTCACAACCTCTTATACTGGAAATAAAATTATTTTTATGGTGCAACCATATTTTTCTATAGATGCCTTTTATAGCTCATTCAGTCTTATTTAATCACATTTTTTCATCCCCTACCATATTGTTGATAATTGTAATGCAACCATATGATGCTTATTGATGTCTGATTAGTTCATGCTGTCTTATTTCATCACCCACTTACTGATGGTTAGCACATTCATTTCTATATTTATTATAGCTTTTAGATCTATGTTGCTGTTCAGTAAATTCATTTAGTTCATACAGTGTATAGTATTACTCTTACTCATTAATTTATTTTCATATTATACCTGGATTCGGTAGAGAAAAAGATGGTTATTATCCTTTTCTCCTGCTGTTGACACGTATGGTGACACTAACCTATCAAATACTTTTTTTATATAACTCCGTGAAGAAATTAAGGATTTTTTCTGCTTAAGTATTATAATGATTTTCTTATAGAAAGAGGTGCTGGTAATGTGTAACCAAATGATGGTTTTCATTGATGTCTGATATAATTCATGCTGTCTTATTTCATCACCCACTTTCTGATGGTTAGCACATACCAGCTGTCCAATATTAATAATTCACTTTTAAAAAATGTATCACAGAAGTGTGAAATTATCCTTCTCACCCACTGCTAATACTAACTTATTAAATATTACATTGTTATCAAGTCAGTGAAATTTATTTGCATTCTCTTATAAAAAAGACATTTGTTTGCATACTTTGTATAAATTAAGGCTATTCATTCCATGTAGTTTTTTTTTGTTGTTTTAATGTAATAATTTTCGAATGAAATGTTGCTCGTTCAGTGGGCTGGTAATATTGAACCAAATGGTGGTTTAAATAATGTCTGAGAAAATTCATGCTGTCTTATTTCATCAACCACTTACTGATGGTTATTAAATAACAGTTTATCCACAGCTATTTTTAACTGTCCAGTTAATGACTATTTAGTAAAAATGTACAAAAAGCAACCCTGAATATGTCCAGTCAGTCTTTTTTGTTTGTTACTAATGTCATTTGCATATTTGGCTGAGAGGGACATAATCATTATTGTTGACATGGGCAGGTTTTTGAGTTTCCATTTCATCTTTTGAGGTGCCATGACTTTTTTAAATGCCATTATTTTTGTACTATAGGCTCCCTGTCTTTTAGTCTCCATGTCATTTGTAAGTCTTTTAACACATCTATCTTAATGGTAGAGTAATGCAATTGAAGAAAATAAAAACCAAAATAAATCAATACTTTTTCGTTTTGGATATTTAAAAAAAAAATTTCAAATAAATCCCATGTAAAAATAAAAAATAAACAAAAATACATGTTCTGCAATCACATTTTTATATTGCTGCATTTGTTTTTAAAAATCTGTTTTCTTGAAGATTTAAAAATCAAGTAAAACATTATAAAAATGTGATTGCTGGCAAAAAGTCTGACCCATCAAGCCGTCAAGTGATTTTTGCCTGAACAGATTTATTTGAATTCATGTACTGACTCAGAAATTACTCCTTATCATGAACAACTCGTTAATTTTAGTTGTTTTAAAAAACTAATTAGTAAAATGTATTTCAGACCAACATCCCATCTGGGGGGCCAAGCAGTTCGGGTGTACGGTCATGGAGCAATGTGACTGGGGGTATTCAACAAGGTAATTTGTTTTGTTACTGACCTACAAGTTGGGGAATGCTATGATGTATTCTTATCTGTCAATCCAATGACTGGTGATTATATCTTTAAAAAAGCTGAGCATCCCATAAAATATCTTTATTTTCACAAACTATTGTCAGATGTATGCTTTCTGAATCTCTATCCTGATGTACAAATAAATTAGCATCATATAGGATGCATTTAACTTGCATAGCAACCATAAACATTTTCACTGCAGTACCAGGCAGAACATTTTTTCCAAACATTATGGTAAAACTTTATTGCTTCACCCCAGGTTGGTAACTTCTAAGAGCTATGTTTTTGTAATCTTTTCTGGAGGAGTATTAAATGAAAGTTTTGTTCATTTTTCTGATATTTAAACATTAATAAACTGAATAGATCTGCTTTATATGTCAAAATATTCACTGATAAACATGTCTATCATCAAAATAATTCATTTTGTGGTCAGTAACAGCTGTGAAAGTATATAAACTTTACTAAGTTTCTATATATTTATTCAATTCTGTTCAAATGAAGTACTTGTCATTTGTTCCAAACAATGTAGGTAGTTGCCTAGCTTTATTTAACAATAGTAAATAGTTTTCTTGTACAGAACGAATACAGCATGTTTGCAATGATGACTGTTATCTGTCAATCCAATGAAGTGCATGATTCAGCCTATAATTAACTGAGCAAACAGTTTTAACTTTGAGACTACAAACAGTTATTGTACAACATGATTAAACATTGATCCAATCTAGTTTAGAACCATTAAATATATGCATTTCTTCTTCTTATAAGACCTGACAAGACATATAAAAATCACTCTTCTACAAAACTGTTTAAAAAATTAACAACTAAAAAATTTTATGTGACCCCTACCTCAGTATGGATTGTTTTACACAAGGTGTTATAATAAAATGCTTTTTATGTCTGAAGTGCAATATCAGAAAGAACTTAAAAATAAGTACAGAAATTTAAAAAAAATAGGTTTTGTTTTGTTTCAGGAATAATTTAAATGGGTTTGCTATGATGTCATTTATCTGTCAATCCAATGAAAACTTGTATGATTACATTTTTTATAAAACAACCTGAGTGAACCTGTTTATTTATTCAAAGATTTTTTAAAGCTTTAATTTTTTACTAGACAACTTTTATAGCACATACAAATGGTAAACTATGTAATGTCATTAACTTTGTTGTTTCCTATTTATAAAAATATGTTCAGCAGCTAAAGTTCAGAATATACTATTAGTGAAAATATTTGCTATCTTCCTTAATTTTTTATTTTATGGCAAGTCATTATTATAACACAAGTCTTTAGGGATTGTTCTCCATTTAAATATTTATTATTGTGTTAAAGGTGGCATCAGTGAGAAATTGACCATTTCATGCTTACAAAGTATGCAATACCATGTGATGGTTTTCTTTGTGTCTGAAATGACTGTTTATGATGTCTTTTCATCACCCACTTGCTGATGGTTTGCTATGTCATTTATCTGTCAATCCAATGAAAACTTATATGATTACATTTTTTAAAGCTATCATTTTTTACTAGACAACCTTTATAGAAGATACAAATGGTAAACTATGTAATGTCATTAACTTTGTTGTTTCCTATTTTAAGAAAATGTTCAGTAGCTAAAGTTCTGAAAATACTATTAGTGAAAATATTTGCTAGTTCCTTTCAATTCTGATTTTATGGCAAGTCAAAATTATAACACACGTCTTTAGGGGATTGTTCTCCATTTAAATATTTATTATTGTATTAAGGGTGGATTGTATTAAAGGTGGCATGAGTGAGAAATTAACCATTTCATGCTTACAAAGTATGCAATACCATGTGATGGTTTCTTTTTATCTGAAATGACTATTTGTCTTTTCATCACCCACTAATGGTTTGCTATGATGTCATTTATCTGTCAATCCAATGAAAACTCATGATTACATTTTTTATAAAACAACCTGAGCAAACCTGTTTATATATTCAAAGATTTTTTTAAAGCTATCATTTTTTACTAGACAACCTTTATACAGATACAAATGGTAAACTATGTAATGTAATTAACTTTGTTGTTTCCTATTTTTAAAAATGTTCAGTGGCTAAAGTTCAGAAAATGCTATTTGTGAAAATATTTGCTAGTTCCTTCAATTTTTATTTTATGGCAAGTCAATATTATAACACAAGGCTTTATGGGATTGTTCTCCATTTCAATATTTATTATTGTGTTAAAGGTGGCATGAGTGAGAAATTGACCATTTCATGCTTACAAAGTATGCAATACCATGTGATGGTTTCTTTTTGTCTGAAATGACTATTTATGATGTCTTTTCATCACCCACTTGCTGATGGTTTGCATATGGATTTTTATTTGTATTTACCTTTTAAACAGAGTTTCTTCCAGGCATCTCTGGGGGGGGGGGGGTGTCTGCCTTCCCCAAATAAAATGGAATTTATATTGAAAATATGTGTCCCACCACCTCCCATTGAGAAAAGTCTAGAAGAAACACTGCTTTAAAAGACAATTGAAGAAGGGGGGGGGGAATAGTTGCCTTAAAAACTCATTTTACTAACATTGTTTTTAGGGGGATTAGTAAGTCATCAGTCACCATTATTTCAAGAGGAATTTCCAAGTTTAGCACAAGAAGAAAAAAACAAAGAAACAGTACAACCTATCAGAAAAGAAGAAGATTTGAAGGATACTCAATATGGACCAGGGCCAAGCTTGCGACCACAGAGTAAATAAAATTTTGGTTAAATGTGCTTTATAATAGCACAAATCTATTGACTTAAAATTTTAAGTATTCTTGTTGTACAAATTACACAACTTAATTTCCCCCAACCACCCATTTATGTAGATGTTGCAAGCTGGCGCGAGGGCGGCGGGCGTGCAGTGCCACAACCCAAACCAGAAGAGACCATTCAGAATACACCAAATTCAAGTCTGACAGAAACACAGTCCAATGGCCCCCAGATGTCCGGTGGAAATGGCAGTGGGGCTGGGGCTGATATGCCTTCACAGGCATTGCCACCCAGACCTGCTTCAGGTCTTGGACCTCCACATGGAACCATGCCTATGGGTCCTCCAATGGGAATGCCTCCCCCACAATATAGAGGCATTATGTCAGCATATGTAAGTATTTACCCTTTTTAATACATATCTAATGTAGAATATTATTTTTCTTATCAAACTTGTTCATTTTGAATTAATGATTTTAAAATTGCACTTGAGCATTTAAACTGAAAATAACAATGCTAAGCATAAGTAACCTATTGGTGCTTGACGTTTTCAGATGTATGGTAGAATGCCACCAGGAACATATCCTGCAAACTATCCTGGATTCCCTCGACCTCCATATCCACATGATCCAAGGTATGATGTTTAAGATACTTGTTGTGGTACATTTTTGCATCATTTGATGTTTTCATTAACTTAGACATGTTTGATTAATTGTGAAACTAAGATTGTTCTGATGGTGCTATATTAGTTAAATCTTTACTTTTATTTAAAGACTGTTTTTATAACAATTATTTTTGCTTTTTAGGTTCAGGGGCCCACCACCCTCAGTTTCTCATGGTAGGCATTTGGGAGAAAATGAAGAAGGACAAAAACGACCAGCTATCGTATCTGACAAAGCACTTAAAGACTTTGAAGACATTCTCAAATCTGAATCAAATGACGGGGGGTGGGCTGGACCCCAAGGAGAAATAGATTACAGGTAATTTGAGATAAATTTAAAGTGTGAAAGATTTTTTGACAGTTTTTAATTGAGTTCAGTGTTTGCCTTGACTTTCTGTCTGATCAAGCTGTCTTCAGGTGTGGCATCAGAATATTTCACTTTTATTTTGTTTCTTTTGGCACATTTTTTCAGTGAGAAACTGGTCTTCAGTGATGAAGATGATGACTCTCAAAGTCCAAGGTGAGTTTAGCTGGTGTTTTCCATACATTTTTTCTCTTCACCAACCTGTACATCTTAGTAAAATGAATTACTTTAAATGGCAAGTATTATAATTTTCTAACTCTTTATCAGAGATAGATCCTTAATGGATGGAAAGCACAGACAAAAGAAAGAATTGGAAATGCACCAGAGGGACATGGACTCCGATAAGGATAGGAAAGATGACTCTGATAAGGTAAAGAGATTTTTATAACTTAAAATTTAAAACAAATTAAATTTTGAGTAAATATGTTCTAAATATATTTATATCTTTTAAAGAATGATCTTGGTCCATCAATGGTTCGTGAGGCTTGGCCCCATGGGCCCCCACCACCTCATTACAGAGGACCACCTAGACCGCCACACCCTGGAATGGATGCAGTAAGTAAACATAGTTTATTTACTTAAATTTCTTAATCTTACTTTTACAACCTTGTGGTGTGCTTAATTCTGTACCACATTAAGTGCTTTGTCTAGTGTACTTTTGTTTATATTGACTTCATGGCATATTTTTTAAGTTTAAATTTTTATTATATTTGTTTTTAAAGTACAGCTTTTGTATTTTCAGCGAGGATGGCCACCTCATATGCATCCATATGACTTTTTAGGTCCTAGGGGTGGTCCACCCTATGGTTTCCGAATGCCACCCCCACAAATGGTATGTTTTGTTGAGAAAAGTTTCCTTAAATCTATATGATTTTCAAGTAAATAATATATTAAGGTGTACTTAGTTAACACTAATAGTATGTAAATAAACATTGCAAAGTCTAAATAAAGCTGGTGCATAATCGGTTGTGTATGAGTTTGTTACATTAAACTACTAAATTTGACAGTGGAAATTAGGGGGGGGGGGCAGGAGAGGTTATGATATTTTAAAAAAATTCCGCACCAGATGATGGTTTACTTAGACATGTTTGATTGTTTGTGAGAACAAAATTTTGCTGATGGTGCTTCATTTTTATCTTTTGTTTGAAACCTATGCCTTTCAACCGACATAGCACTTTTGTTAGCATTTCATTAGAATAGTTTTAAAATAGCACTTCATTAGATTGGGTTTAAATAAAAAACAATGTAATCAGTTTAAAAAAAGAAAATTACCATATTGTTTGAAACAAATGCCTTTTCACCTGACACGCATTTTAGGGGTCATCCATTTATGATGTCCACAAAAATCTGGCTTTTTGACCCCCCCCCCCCCACACACGCGTCCACTTTTGACAAACTAAACTCCCCCTACCCCCATTGTGGACGTCCACAAAAAGTTAGTACACCTCAATACATGCTGCAAAATTTACATGCAATATGTACATTAACTAATAATATAATATAGGGATTTGATATTTTGAAGACTTAAAATTGTTCTTCATTGAAAGAGTAATCGCGCATGCACACTGAGTACCCTTGCCTCTTGAATTTAAAGGCTTTTTTATACACTATTGAGTCATAGATTGCAGGCAGTCATGTATCTTTTTAAAAAATTCAAGATGCTGTAGACTTTTTACTGCCATTTGTGGCTGTCTAGCTATCAACAAATATATGGGTTCGGGTAAATTCGGCTGATCAACATGGCATCATTATATTACTTATACTCAACTTAACGCTGCATGTGTTCCCATAACAAACCGCCTCTCCCCCTTTTTGTGATAGTCCTGATTGTTAGTCCTACACCTACCCATTTGTGGCTGTCTAGCTATCAACAAATATATGGGTTCGGGTAAATTCGGCTGATCAACATGGCATCATTATATTACTTATACTCAACTTAACGCTGCATGTGTTCCCATAACAAACCGCCTCTCCCCCTTTTTGTGATAGTCCTGATTGTTAGTCCTACACCTAACCAAGCGAGCACATTATACACCCCCTGATATTTAAATATCTAATTGTAGCAGGTTGTTTTGAGTTTTTTACTTGAATAAAATGGCTAGATCTACATTATTTTAGGCTTTGACACAAAATAATGATGTAGACTTCCTATGTTACAATTGTTTAAAATGTTAAAAAATAGACTTATAATACCATGAATTGTTTAAGAAAATTACAGTGGTCACTGCCCCATCCCCTCCCCTTGTAAAAAAAACATCCCCTTTTTTCTTAGGCAGGTGGAACAACATTACTGATACATTTACAAACCGCCTCTCCCCCTTTTTGTGATAGTCCTGATTGTTAGTCCTACACCTAACCAAGCGAGCACATTATACACCCCCTGATATTTAAATATCTAATTGTAGCAGGTTGTTTTGAGTTTTTTACTTGAATAAAATGGCTAGATCTACATTATTTTAGGCTTTGACACAAAATAATGATGTAGACTTCCTATGTTACAATTGTTTAAAATGTTAAAAAATAGACTTATAATACCATGAATTGTTTAAGAAAATTACAGTGGTCACTGCCCCATCCCCTCCCCTTGTAAAAAAAACATCCCCTTTTTTCTTAGGCAGGTGGAACAACATTACTGATACATTTACTACGAGAACTGCAGATATAATGTATAAACTACATTTCATATGCATTTTTGAATTATAAAATTTAAGTATTTTGTGGTTTAATTCCGAATGTGGACGTCCACATTGACCCGAAAGCCGCCTCATTCCACACGGGTCCACAAAAATTAGGTTTTTAAAAACTCCAACCCCACCATCATAAATGGATGACCCCTTAGCATTTCATTAGAATAGTTTTAAAATACCACTTCAATTGGGCTGAAATAAAAACGGTGTACAATAATCAGTTTCAAAAAAAGAAAATCACTATGTATTGTAAAATCTCAATGTAAACTTCAGCGTCCATATGGCCCACCGCCACCACCTCCTGTATCAAGTCCTAGTACTATGCCACCACGAAAAGCAGGTGATGATGATGATGAGCTGTGGAGAAGTAGAAGAAGAGCTAATGAGGGAGAAATCAACACAGCTGTTGAAAGAGCAAGGCTTAGAAGAGAAGAAAATGAAAAAAAGAAAGAAACTGAGCAGAGGGCAGCTGCTGCTGAAAAGCTGAGGCAGCTAGATGCCAGAACCAAGAAAAAGGATGATGTTAGTATTCTTAATAATAATTACCTTGATGCCTTTATATATTAAATATTATTTCTTTGTTTTTTTTTTAGTATTCATGTATTAACTGTTTATCATATACATATTAGGGTAAAGAAAGTGAAAATGAAGGCAGAGACAGTCGAACTGCTAGCGAGTCAAGTGATAAGGACCCACGAGAGTCTCGTTTCAGAGATAGGCCTGCCAATATTACTCCTCCTGCTCAGGTATTTGAATTAAGATTGTAAATTTCAAAAAATTATTTCGAAAGACATAGTTCACCAGCTGCCAAAAAAAAAGGTTATACAACCATGTTGTAGACTTAACCATTGTTGCTTTCTAGAATGAACAGACTTCCAGTTCAAAAAATTATGGACGAACTGTCCCACCAAGATTTCAAAAACAACAAGATCCTGCTCTGGCACAGAATCAACGGCAGCAGCAGCCTCCAAGTCCAGGTAGTGGGGGATCAAGTGGACATCCTTCAGGACCACCTATGACTCAGGTTTTCAGATCTGGTCAAGGACCACCTCCTCACTGGGGTTATGATCCAAGATGGCCTGGAATGCCATTCATGGATCCAAGATATGGACCTCGCCCACCACTAGACATGCAAGGTTGTTATCCTGGATTATGCAATTTCATAAATGCAATTTTTTTTAGTGTGAGCTCCTTATCTAGATGGGCTGTAGATTATTTTGGCTATTTCACTGAAACTCAATTATTTTGCTTATTTAGAAATTAAATTTTAACACTAAACAGGAATGCCTATTTATGGGCCACCACTAGCACGACGACGTAATGACAGTCATGGTTCTGGCAATGAAGGACAAGATTGTGACACAAGACATGCAGAACAGTATGATAGGCCAGATCCACGAGATCCAAGGACTGCATGGCTAGACAGATACCCTTCAGCTCATCAAGGTTTTAAAATTTCTTTATTAGGATTTTTAAGCTACATCGCACACAGTTCTTACTTTATTTGTCAATAGTATTTTATCTGTGTTAAGTTTTGAATTTATTTTGAGTGATTTGTCTGCACTCCTAGTTTTGGCTAAAATTATTGCTTAAAAATTAAGGTCATTTTAAAACAAGTTTTTAATGCTCCAATGTTGTTTTTTTTTTTAATTTATCAGCCCATTTTGAAGAGATGAGACGCCACCCATATTATGATCAAAGAATGTACTCCTTTGAATATGACAGAAGGTAAAACATTAGTTAATGCTACTGAAAGACAATGACTACATTTAATTAAGGAGTAAATTATTCTTGTGTAGTTAAATTTTAAATTTACAATGAATTTTTTAAAAATCTTGAATTTTTTTTATCTATATTAAACTTAATACTTTATTCTATTCTTTTCATACTTTTACAAATTGCAGGGACTTTGACCGCCAGCACAGAGATGAAGAAAGTCATCAATCTGAGGGCAGTGATGCATCAAAAGATGAGCCACGGCCAACGTTACTGCAAAGAGATTCATTTGAAGAGCGTAACAAACCCTCTGATAAAGATGAGAAATCTATCAAACCAGAATGGGATTCAAGGTATATTTTTTTGAAAAGCCAGTCACAAATATTTAGGATTAAGAGTAGTATCTGCTGTCATTTTGTAAGTTTATTACCTATTTCAGACTTTGTCCAGATATTTTAATGTTAAGTCAGAATCTTTCAGCTATTTTTCAGTTTGAAATAATTTTTTAAAATAGGAAATTTGGCTCTTTTAAAAAAATTATTTCCCAGTTTCATTATAGCGAATTTTGCATGCAATGTTACTAATTTGTATACTTGTATATTAAATTAATATTCATCATTTAAACTGCTTGAGTTAGCTACTTTCTAGTATTTCCAGCCTTTTGTTTTAATTTTGGTAATTGTTTCTACTCCTTGGTAATGGTAACTGGACCACGCACTACTACTTTTTTGCAGTGGACTGATTCTCGAGCAAAGAATTAAAAAGCCAATTTTGTCTAATCTGAAAAGTAGTGTGCAGTTTTTCTCATGCATCACTTCCGGTATAGGACAAAGCGCCGTGGGCCCCCCCCCCCCCCCCCCCCGAAATACAATTTGTATAGAAATATATATTTTTACCAGTGTCAGGGGCCCCCTGTTGAAAGGGACAGTAGATGTCTTTCATGGTGGGTGGAACCTGCGACCCAAACCCCCTGACAGAATTGTGGAAAGTATTTTGAGTAACAATGAATTTTATTTGGCAGCCGATCCTATCCAAAGGAATTAAACAAACAAGATGGGGGTGATCAGTATGATGAAGATGATTTTGACAAAACTGATAAAGATTGTTTGCTTGAACGAGAGGAACCAGAAGAGAATTATACTCGTGGCTATAGGCAGTCTAGACCAACACCTAAATTTAGAGCATATTCTTCTGAGGAATTAAAGCAAAGAGAAGCATCACAACGTATGTTAACATTTACTTTTCTTTTGATTTAAACCTTGTTACAAATGGTATTTTTACAACTTTTTTACCTGTATTACTATAGGACATGAACCACCATTACCTATACCCTCTGACCAAAATAAACAAGGAGTTCCTGCCAAAAGTACACTTACATCACTTAAGCGCAGTGCATCAAATATGTCAAGCAGCTCTGCTGCATCATCAGATAAGGACAGAGAAAGAAAGAGTGATTCACCAAAAGAAAGTCTTGTGTTTGAAAGAACTCAAGTTAACAGAGAAAAAGTTAAGGTATGTAGAAAACCCAGAAAATGAAAATACTAAATTTTATTGTTAATCCTGTGAAGACATTTGTGCATCACAGCATCCAGAGCCTTGATGTAACGATAACAACAGGAACATTGAACATGCTAGCTTTCGTGCTTAATAGCATTCTGCTATTAGGCCCCGTTACTTGCATACATTACTCAAAATGTGGATAAATAAATTTATTTTTATTTTGTAAAGCATTAATCTTAATTTCTGTATACTTGTATTTTACAGGATACAACTAAGGAATCTAAATCTCAGAGTAAGGAAAATAAACCACCTGATCAACCTCGACCCAATGCCTGGGAAATAAAAGAGCAAGACAGGTACAAATTACTATTAGTTATTATATTCATATTTTTTAACCTTTCATATTCAGGAAAAGGGTTTCATACTTAATCTGGAAAAAGTCTGGAATTTTGAAATACCATGCAGCAATGCATTTGTCATTTCCACAATCATTAGGAAAGGGGCACTACTCTTTAAAATGTAACCTTAATATAGGCTGGGCCTTCTTAAAAATTCCCAGAAGTAAAAAGGAAAATGGTCACCAAAATATAAATGAAGTCCTTATTGCATTTAGTTTAAACAAAAATAAATTCAGAACTGCTGATGCCAAAACTTCTCAACAGAATGGCCATAGCAAAGGGCACTACTATTATTGGAGATTCCCCTCTTAAGAGTTAACCACAAGTTTACAGTTGTTTAAGGTTGTCTGATCAATGTTTGTAAATCTTGCATAGAAAGTATAAAATTAAAGCGTGCGGCTTATAAAATTATTGCAAGCACTGTGAGAAAAATAGGCAAATTTCTTTGGTACTACATACGTAATGTTGCAAATACAATAATAATTTTGCTGCTACATTTTGTGATAATATAAATTGAACTCAGTTACCTTGTATGCAATAAAAAAGTGAAAAGCATCAATCATTTATTGTAATATATTATTATTTTTCCCATCTTACAGAAAAGCTAAAGAACAAGAGAAGACAGAAGAACCTTCATTTTCTAAAGAAGTGGTAGATGACAGGGTTAAGGAGTACGAAGATAGAGTTGATAGTCCATTTAATAACAGACCACCCTTGAAGAAAAAACGCGAGGATGATCAAGAGCGCGACAGACGAGATAGACACCCCGATGATAGAGATAGGAGAGACAGGGCTGACAGGGATCATGATCGCTACAGCGACAAGGCTGATAGACCTAGAAATACACCTAGTAGAGGTCGAGAGTTTGTTAGAGGAAGAGGAATGTCTTCTCGTGGAAGAGGAAGAAGTTCTGTTCGTGGGGGATATGGTACTCGTGGGCGTGGCAGAGACTACTACTCAGGCAGTTATGAAAGAAATCCTGGTCAAGGATCCCGGCGTTCAGATCGGCAGTCATTGATGAAATCATTTCATAAATCTGATGATAGTGAGGGAAATGATAGGGAAGAGTATGGGAAAAATTCTCATCGTAAGCTTGGACCTGGGGATGATTTAAGTGATGTTTCTGCCGATGAAGGTAGCACTTATGACAATAGTCTACATGATCGAATAGAAAAAGACAAAGAGAATGGTAAAGATCTAGATCGGAGAGATTCAAAAGACAGTCGTCAACAGTCCCAGAGAAATTCAGAAGATTCACGCCAGGATAATAGACAAATAGGGCAAAGAAATTCTGAAGATTGTCGTTTGCATGGGCGAGGTTCTGAAGAAACTCATCAGGCTCAAAAAGGGAATGAAGATGTTAGGCAGCAAGGCCAAAGGGTTTCAGAAGACAATCGTCAACAGGGTCAGAGGGACAATCAGCAGGGACAAAGAGCAGAATCTGCTAGAGAGGTCAAACAAAGGGATAACCGTGACCAGAAAAATCCTTGGCATCAGGAGTCTAAGGCACAAGGCCCACCACAACCAACTAATGTTTGGAATAAACCTCAACCTCTGCTTCCTGATCCTCCAAAATCTGATTGGTCTACAGATCCTAGTCTTAAAGAGAAAGATGAGAAGTCATTAAAGCTTGAATCCTGGCAGCGGCAAGACTCGCGCGAATCAGGCCAAGAGAAAAATGGGGATAACCACATTTCTGGTCAGTCTGATGGTCGGGAAAAGCAGCGTCATGATGGTTCGAACAGACGTGATGATAGAGATAGACGTAGACAGGATAATCGTGATGGTGGAGGCAGGCGTGGTGATAGAACACGGGGAGAGGATGGATTGCGTGGTGATGGAATTGATGGTGAACACAAAGAGAAAAATGACAGGCGAGATAGAGACCGTGATAGAGATGGCAGATACAGAGAAAAAAGGGTTGATCGTGAATATATGGACAGTCGACAAGATGAACAAAATGGTGTTTTTGTTCCAAGAGGAGAACCGTCTAGACGAGGAAGAGGCGAGTATTATTCTTACATTTAAAGATTTTGCTTTTGTAATTGCAGCATTTGTGTGAATGCTTCATTACTTTTTTTAAGGAGGTTCCCGCGGTGGTCGAGGCAATCGGTTCACTTCCGCTCCAAGTCGAGGGAATGGGCAAGGCTATGGTGGTAGAGGAGCTAATGGGGATCAAAATATAAATGGACCTAATGGACGTCAAGGCGCCAGATCTCAAAATGTAGACAGGAGTGGTGAGGGGAGAGATACTCGAATGGATGGAGGGAACTATAGGTAATAATTTGATCTCTGGGCAGAACGAATTTAATACTACAAATTCCTTTCAGTTATTTTTTGACTCAAGAAAACTGCTGCTTTCCTTTTGTATACTTTTCTTGTTATACATAGCTAATTTGGTAGAAATATTCCCTTAAAGTCAAACTTTCTTTTATATTCCTTTGAACCATCTTATATACTCCTTTGAGACATCAAAGTAAATAAATTTTTACTCCTGTAGAGATGGGCGCAGACAAGATAGTCGGAACCCACCTCCACCTAGATTTAGAAGAGGTGGTGGAATGGCTGAAGGTAGAGGTAGAGGATCAGAAAGAGGAAGTGGTGGAAGGGGTAGATCATCAAGAGGAAGGGGTGCCAGTGCACCAGCTAACCTTGCAACCAAGAAGCCTGTACTAACCAAGCAAGCATCTAATGAAGGAGAGGAATGGGAAACAGCATCTGAAAGCAGTGAGCCAAAAAACGATTTGCGAGAGTCCCGGGAAAACAAGAAAGAGATCTCTACCACTAAGAAGAGCATCTCTAACCAGCGGCCGTTCAGTGACCGGCAAAATAACCGGCGCATGAACAACCAGGACTCTCGCAATAGTGTTGAGCGCCGCAATCCCCAAAATAAAGACAACAAACAGAACCAAAAAAACGGGGCAGTGCCGCCGACAAAATCGGCGGCAAATGGGACAACCCCTAAAAGTAAACAAGGTTTGTCAAACACAATGAACCATAAAGAAAATGTTGTGTTCAGAGTGGATGGAGTAACACCAACTGACCCAAATGCTATCAACAACGCTATCAACAACATGCATGCTAAGTGAGTACAACTCATTAATTTTATTTTCATCGGAACAACTATTTTTATTCTGTAGGGATGGAATTTTAATCTCTGCATAAGACATTAAATTGCTTTCTTCGATTTAAAAAAATTGTATCTTAAATAACACATCTAGAAATAAGCTTTTATACAAGTAATTTCCATAACCATCTCATTAAAAAAAAAAGCATAGCAAAAACAGTCATGAAATAGCTAGTTAGTTTTGAAAATATGACCATGTTGAAAATCTGTTACAAATTATGCTCATTTTAATTACAGGAAACACATTGGTAAAAAAGCTGAAATTAATGATGTCTCAAAAACATTAAGGGCTGAGAAAGACAAAAAGGATGCGTTAGCAAACATTGACATTAATAACATTGCAGGTAAAGTGCTTAGGTGCTCTTCAATTTTCTCTAAGTGCCGTTAATAATGGTTATTTCTATTTTTTTCTAAGTATTTTAATTAGAGTAGTAATTTTCAAATGTCTACCAACAACATAAAATTTTGAAAACTCTGAAAGCAGTGTCTTTCTTGAAAAATTGTTACCAGTAAATTCCAATATTCAAGTTAACAAATTTCTATGAGGCGATATATTTAGAAAAGGCACTACTTTGCCTGTTTTACAGCATTCTGCATTTTTGTCAGCATAATGACTAAAAAGCTATTTGATAAATGGTATGGACTTTTTTAAAAAATATCACAAAAACAATGCAATGAGGGTATTTCAAGACTTCTTTCTTCAGTGGCAAAAATATTTAAATCTAAAAGGTTTAGCCATAATTGGGGTAACATGGATTTTTCACTACCACAATTTTACCACACCTACTTTATCAATGTGCCTCCCTTAACCTGTGAAGACATTTGTGTATCATGACATCTAGAGTTGTGATATAATGATAGCAACAGGAATATTAAATTGATCTGGCTTCGTGCAGTATAGTTGTTACTATTTTGCCCCGTTACCAGCTTACATTTTAAGACAGTAATTATCATTTTAAATATTTCTATGATGTTTTTCAACTATTGAAGTATAAGTTAAACAAATTACACCATGACCATAATAGATCTTGTAGGCCAACATCATTTAGTTTCATTATTCAAAATGATCTCATTTTTAAAAATATATCTAGTAATTAAAAATAATCACATGGATAGTAGAAACTTAAACTGCCTAGACATAACTGGTGGTCTTGTGTCATAAGCCTCAAGATCAGTACAACTATGAAAAGTGGGTTAGAAGTTGTTAGTATTATGGAGATGTGTAGCGAAGTGTCCGTAAAGTTGGGTAAAAAGTAATCCATTTGATGTTTCTTTCTATTTTCATTCAATCAATGAAGCCATTAGTGTTGTGTACTTTCCATAGTTGTGACAAGTGAAGTCATTTAATTGTATACTTGTATTTTCTCCAGAGCATTCTTGTCGCAACCATAAACACTTTTGGCTGCATAAATTAAATGTTTCTACATTCGAATATGCCTTTACTTTTATTTTCGGTCTTTAAATAAAATTAAGTTTCTACATTTTATACATCCAACATATTTTCAAGAAATCTGTATCACTAATTTCTCCATATATCGCTAAAGATATCTCATAGCCTCCGAAAATAAATTGCAGTCAGAGAGAGAAGTGCCCACATGAGCTATTATATATTAAGATACTTATAAAGTTATCAAGTGTTAGTTATGTCAAGCTTGTTGGTTTTTCAGGTGTGGTTGTTGTGGATGACCTACAAGAGGTTACTACTGATGACCCTAATTTCTTATTTGAAAGCAATGATGGATTCCAGGAAGTTACTTCTAAGAGGACTCTCAAAATAAAACAAAAATTAATAGAAGCTGAGCAGAAAAAATCTGAAAAAGAAGCTATGAAGAAAAAGGATCATCAAAATAAGGTACTAAGGTTTTAAAAAAAAATAGAATAGCATGGCTGCCTGCTTGTACAATTTTTACACCCAAGTAACAATACAATGTCTAAACAGTGTTTATACTTCTGTGAAATAAAATCATCTGGGGTATTTAAAAATTACTTAATGTAATTCAAATATTCCTAGTATGTTGTGTAGCTTCAGTAAAACAAATTGTATATATATTAACTGAAGCAAGTAGTTCTTTTTTTTTTTTGAAAAATGTTTCTGAATGTTTGAAAATTATTTGTTAATTTAAGCTAAAATTGTTTCTGTATCAAAGGTTGGACAAAGGGCACCTCATATGATTGCATTAATCACACCTACTAAACCAATACTAACAGGCCTGGTCTAGATAAACGTTTTCCCAATTCTTTATTTAGCAGCAAACTAATATGTAGGCTAATAAAATGACAGTGTTTAGTGTTAAGATGTTTTAAATGTGGTTAAACAGTATGATTTCCTAGCCATCATTGAAAGACTTTGTATGAACAATTTCTTGATTAAATCTAGAACTAATTTTTTCATTAAAAATATAATAAACAAGCTTATTTATTTAATGAACTAAATGTATTACTTTCTGTCACAATTTGTATTCCTTTAAAAAAAAATCCTTAGCCAATGTGAAAACTAAAAAAAATTATTTTTAAAAAAAAGTTAGGACTATTTGATTATTATGGAAAATGTATTGATAATTTTTGGGGGCAGGCTGCCTTGAATTTAATTATTGTTGAGTATATTTGTAAAAGAAATGTCCTATCCCTACTAAAAAAAAAATGTTTTTTCTCAGGTTGTTGCACGCCCCAAGGGTCTAAGTCCTAAAACTGGCAGGGCCACTATTAAAGGTAGTAAACTGCCTCCACGCCTTGCAAAGCAGAAAGAGCAGAGAGAAAAAGAAAAAGAAATGACCAAAAATGTCATGCCTAAAATAGAACTCTGGGATAATGAACTAGCTAACAACATCCCTTCTCTTATGGCTGGCATAGATTTAAGCCCTGCTGGTGGATCCAACTCTCTAGCCATTGCATCTTCTAGTAACACAACTCTAGATGATAATGGAGGTTAGTTATAATTTAAAGTAATATCACTATCTTTGTGCATTGTATTTAAAACAAGCCTATATTAAATTCTTTTTTATATTTCTTCAGATATAGCACTTCCTGTGAGCAGTAGCATAATAGTAACAAACAAGAACAATTTAGGATCTATGATGGCATCTATATCCTCTTTGACACCAGCACCAGCACCTGCCATTAGTGCTTGGTCAAAGCCAATAAACTTTTCAGCATCTGTGGGGTCCGTAGGCTCACAGAACCAGCAAGTGTCCACAGCTCATTCTGTTTCGGTGCAACATGCGGTTATTCCTGCAGATCCGAAATTGGACAAAGGCGATCAACATGACAGTGGGATAGATGTAAGTGACCAGCCAAACTCTGCAGCATCTTCTACTCGGAGTTCTCCCAGCGCTGATAACAAGCTCATCACCTCCTCTACCGTCCCACATTCTCAGAGCGTTGATCCCTCCACAGCCCCAGTGCTCAAGGTACACAAGTGAAACCAATTCCTGCGGTTGATGCTTTCAGTCTTTAGAAATAATTTCATTTCACTTGCATCATGTGCACATATCAGTAATTAAGTATTACTCTTTGTGCTTGGTTAGTTGTGCGTCAGATTTGTGATGTTATATTCACTTAGTCTGGTCCTTAAAATACTAAAATAAGACTAATTCTGTCTTTTAAAGTGGACTGATTTTTTGAGATTTGTGTACCTTGATAGTTTTGAGTTTCATTATTGACTAAATATTTTTCTTTCATATGGATGTTAAGGTTGCTTTATTAAAGCTTTACAATGCATGAATTCCTACCCATCACAATGCACTTTTAAAAATGTGCATGCTAATTTTATAGGTTGAGCTTAAACCTCTTTAGCTTTTGACTTCCAGCAAATGGCTGTTGCATGTCTACTGTTATTTAATGAATGAACTTCTATTAATTATTAGTATGAATTCTGTTATTTGCTTCAAATAACTGATTTCTATTCAAATAATCATTATATTTCTAATTTTTAAAGCCGTTTTTAATAGTGTATGGTGTGTTAAAATCCTTTTAAATATGGAATTAATAGTTAAAATAGATTGCTTGTGTGTGAAGAACTTAAGATTTAAAAAAATACTGTGATTAAAAAAGGGGTTCTGTAGTATTTCTATTGTTTCTGTAGTTACTAGAAATAAGCATGCATTTTATAAGGCTACAGTAGAACAAGTTGATCCCTTAATAAATTTAGTACTCAATTAATTTACAGAACTTGTAAAATAACTAAACTGTTTAATTCTAGAAAAATGACATGGATGTTCCAAGAGTCATTGAGCTACCAAAAAGTCAAAGACAACCTAAGGTAAAAATTTAATTGTCTTGTGTTATACATTGTGAACAATTTATTTATTTATATAATTTTAAACTTATAATTCTTTATATCTTAGGCAATGAAACCTGAAAAAACTGTTAAGGCTGAAGCCAGCATTAAGGTGATTAAAACCGAAACTGCTCAAAATCAGAAAGATCTTTCAAGCTCCAAACCTGAACCTATTCAGATGCCACCTAGTTTTAAAGATCCTATTTTTGGGAAGGTATGCTTACTGCAAAATGCTGTCAGCCATTTTTAACTTATGAAGAGAATGTTAATATGAAATCACTGTGAAATGTAAATTTTAAAATTAAAAGATGCATTTAAATCTTGCATTAATTTTTACATTGGAATTTAAAAATAAAATAGAAATTTGAATTCAGTAGATCTTATCATTAAATAAAACAAACCTATGATTTGTTTTTCCTTTCAGAGTGACGATTCTAGTCTTCAACTTGATTTCCATTATGATGAGAATCTTGCCAGTGGTTTAGTTAGTTTACCTGAGAAGTCTAACCCTGCTGAAAAGGAAGCATCCCATAAAGATAAAATTAATCTGTCAGCTCCTGTTTCTAGCAATCAGACTATATTATCACCAACTTCACCTGCCACTGAAGATTTGAGTTCAAAAATAGCATCTGTGAAGAATTTTTGGGATTCACCTTATGAACACAAGTAAGTTTAAATGGTACAATGCTCCATTATATAGTCCATATAAGAGCTTTTTATACAAGCGAGACCACCAACTTGATTTGCTGCTGTATATATACATGCAGACAAAAATGAAAAAAAAAAATTTAAAATTGAAACTTATTTCATTTCCAGAGCTAGCCTGGCTTCAAGTAATGCAACTGTGTCCACTGATAGCATACTGACAAACATTGGAGGAAGTAATACTAATACTAACAATGTCAATAATGCTGCAACTTCAAGTAATTCAGTTTTCTCTAACTTTGGACATGAAGTAGGAAGTAACAGTGGTGTTAGTGTCAGTGTAATTACAAGTGATTCTCAGCCTCCATCTCTACTTGAAGATAATGTGAATGTTGGCACATCAAATGCTGTGGTCACTGTGACATCAGCACCTCGTCATTCTCCTGTTGTTATTCAACATCTTCACTCACCACATCCTTCTGAATCTGTGATGAAAAATGATGACATAACACAACCTGGCATGATTATAAGCCATGAAAAAAGTGTTAATATTGAACCTACAAACGTTTGCAAGGTAATTTCACTATATCAATTGCATTTCTTATAATTAAACTTATGAAACATAGATTTCAATGTAAAAACTAAATTAATGGAAATTCAGGCTGTGGTAAATCAAAACTTTCAGGTGCGTCCTCAGCAGCTTCAGATGGGCTTAGGAAATGATCCCATGCAGATGTCGGTCCTTTCCTCCAGTATCACAGCTGCAATCCCAACTGTTGCTAGTCCTCCAATGCTTCTGACAGGTTATCCAACTTTTCAACTGAGTTCCCAGTTTGTTGCCCCTGAACAAAGGGTAAGCTATATTAACTTTAAACTTTCAATATTTACCTTTTTTTTTTATATAATGTATATTTTTGTTTTAATAAACCTTTTCTTTTTCAGTACCATCAACCAAGCTTTGGCTTCAGCTTGTCTCAAGCACAGCCTGCAGCATCATTAGGGCCACAACCTCAAGCTCCTGGCCCTATGGGTAGTCAGCAACAATACAACCAACCAAATTTGTATGTGCCATCTACCCCAACACAGCCTGAATTTTTGCCTCCTTCACAGCTCAGTTATACACGGAATCATGGCTTTGGCCAGGGAGCAGCCACTGCTCCACCACCACCTTCACAGCAAAGCACTATAATGGTGTCTTCGTCCACATCAGCTTTGATGTCTACCAACATCAAAGCTGCTAGTGCTTCTCATGCACCATCATCTTCTTCACTTTTTGGTGGAGGTAAGCAACAAGTATAACATTTTAAATTGACCTCTGAATAAGCTTTAAACTTTGTTCATTTTCCATATAGTTTTGCTAATAAAATTTTTATTGTTCAATAGATTTTCAGTATGCTGAACCTTTAGGTAAAGCAATGAATCAAAGCCAAATTTCATACGGAGCTAATCTGGGTAGTTCATCTCTGACAGGAGGTCCTTCCCAGCCTCTTTTTTTCTATGATCCAAATCCATCATTGGGACAGCTGTTTCAACCAAGCCAAAATTTGAGTAATTCTCAGTTGATTGGATCACAAATAGTTCAGGCGAGGTAATTTAAAATAAATTTTACCAACAGCACATGGAAAAATTATGTAGAGGTATTCTATTATCAAAAACAATAAGTTACTACATGTTGTGTTCTGTTTTAAAAGCTTATATATAGTCTTAATGTTTTTTAGGACACAAGTGCAACCAGCATCTTCATATTTTCAACAAGCTCCAGCTGCCAGCTTTTATCCAACACAACAACCTAGCTCAGCTATTCAAGTTGGGGTAAGGGTATTTTGTTTTATAATTATCGTTTTTTTTTTTTTAAATCAGTTTACTTCACAATGTTTGTTGGCCTGTGGTTAACAATCTTTGTGGCTAAAGCTTTTTGTTCTCCATTCTACACAAGAGATAGGAAAAAAATCACCAATGACTGTTAACATTTTAGGGATTTAAAAAATCACCAACAATGGCTGTTTAAAACATTTTAGGGATTCACCAATTTTCTAAGAAAAGCAATTTTTTGCTTATAAACAAGGGTTCCCACAGATAGGAAATAGGGAGTGTTGACCACTTTTGAGAGTTCATGTTTTTTGGTTGGAAAAATGTTTCAGTAGTCAAGAGATTTGATTCAGAGCCCTTGAAAAACAGGCTTTCAGTTAGATTAGAACAATTGAACCCTCATATCTTGACCTTGGTTAACTAGCCTACTCTGTTGTTTTTTGAGGTGGCACTGACAATTTCTCTTAGCTTTTTCTCACTGGTTATGTCAATTATTTTCTGTCACCAGTCACAATATCTAAAGCCAAAAAAGGGACAAATATGCAGGGTTCGTGCGGCCTCCTGAAATTCCAGGAGGTCCTGGAAAACTCCTGGAATCTTAAAAAACGTAAAAATCTCCTGGAATTCTCCTGGAATTTGAAAAATTATAAAAACCTCCTGGAATTCTCCTGAAATTTTAAAAATTCCCCTGAAATCTCATGAAATTTTATTAACCCGCGGCGCAAAACCCGACCGAAATTATTTGATTTTGTTCCGCCAATAATTGAATAGTAGTTTTTAAATGGGACGAAAAAAACGCATCGGCCGTCGTCCGACTGAATCGCACTGCCGTGATCTACACATCGTGTGGCACAGCCGAGTGTGTGGTCACGTGACGCTAGGCGATTGACCCGATTGGATGATACTATAAACAATTTCTAAAGATAGATAGGCCTACATGTGTTCCCGTGTTTGACTTGTCGGCTATTGGATTTTTAAAGTAGACAGGCATGTTTCAATACTTTGTCTTAAACTATTGAAACAGCAAAAAAAAGTTGTAGTAGTATTTACGGCTCAGGACTAATCGTTAAAATTAATCTTCTTTAAAAAAACCCGGATAGCTGCGACCCGATCAAACAATGCTGATTCGCGTAACGTTTCATTATTTTATTTTATACATTAATTTTTCTTAAAATTGGCTATAGAAAATAAATTTAATTTTTCCAGTGGCTCTTTTTTCGGTTGACTAATAATTGTTAATACGCTTAATACTGGCTTGCCAAATCGACCAAAATGGGCTGGGGTTGGTGGGGGAAGACACTGACCATCCTACACGGTATGTAACACCCAACGTAACATCCATAGCTCAACCCGCCCCCACTACTCCGTGCCGTGACGCGACAAGCCGACGATCGCCGCCTTTGATGTTGTGTAACACTCGTAAGGTGGTTTCATACCCCACCTCCCTTCCCCCTTCACTTTGTGGAGCTGATGTTACTAATCCTTGGGCATAGATCAAGAAATCTTGCCAGACTTTTGTCTCTGAAATTACATAATATTCGTCTGCCACGTTCATCGGGTTGGCCGACTAGCCTAGCATCATTGGATTTGGCATCCAAAAATCAATAAAATATCACGAAATGATATTAATTGGTGAAGTCTGCTTGCATTTATACCTCTTTTATAGTGAAAAACTCTTTAAAATTTGGTCCATACCCTCCCAGTATTTTTCCTCTTTCAGGGTCTATCCCGGTTGTTTGAAAAATCTGCTATTTTTTTTTAATGACAAAAAAAATCATAACTTTTTGTTTATGGTCAGATTTTGAAAATTCAAACTGGTCTGTAGTCAGATTGATAGCCTCTATCCTAATATGTAACTAATATATTGTTTTACTTTTACTGAAATTAAATTTTGCATTGGCTTAGCTAATTAAATATATTACTAAGTACGCTTTTTTTTTTAAATGTACAAATTGGGTTTCTTTTTTGTTTTTAAAATCTCCTTGAATTTTTTTGAAAAGTCCTGGAAAACTCCTGGAATTTTATTTGAACTTTTGAGCATGAACCCTGAATATGCTACTTGACATCTGTTAAATCTGCCTCCTTGACCAATGACAAAGTTTTGTATGATTCAATGCTAATATTGTAATGTGAAAAGTGTATCGATGCTATCTTTAACGCTCATCTTTATATAAATTCAAGCGTGTCATTAATTTTTACCATTTTGGTTTTCCATTTCCTAGATGCTTGTTTTCAAACCTCAGTTGATGTATTATTAAAAATTTTTTTTTTTTTAATGTCAATTAAAATAAACAATTAACATTCAGTCAGTTTCAGTAATAGAATTAGTTTGCAACTTGTGGTGAATTTAATAAGATATATGACGAAGAACTGAGACATACCATTTATATCTTTTTTTGAGAAAACTTTTTTGGATTATTATTAGGCTGAAAAATGAGAATCTTCAGTGGTAGATGACAAACAATAGTCATGCTCAATAATGTTTTCTACTTATAAAATCTTTTACTGACTAGATTTAAGTTAATTTGGGTCACCAACTTAACACTATTTTGTAGCTTGAAGAGCTGCACTACTTGTGACTGATAAGTTGGTAAAATAGCATGTCATGGGAAAATAGGGAACTTTAGGAAATACAAGAGTTTTGTTCTTGAAAAATTGTGGGAACCCTGAAAATGCTTTTTACTTACAATTTTACTCATTTTCTCAGCCCGTCACACCTCACTATTTCATGACAATTGTAAGTTTTTAATAGCTGTTACATTGATATTTTTTTTTTCGTTTTTGGCATTTTCAAAATATGACAGTTTTTAGTGACTCAATTTAAAAAACCCACCCTTTTAAGATGCAAAGAGTACCTTAGTTGAGAGCCCTAAGTCTTCTTCAGTACTGATTTATCAGTTAGCTATAAATTGTCTAAAATAGGCTTAATCATTATTTAATAAAGTTAGTAAGCTGTTATTAAGAATAGAGATTGTCAATGCAATATTATTTCCAGATGAAAAGAAAATATTTACAAGTTAAAAGGTTATTTTTTGGTGCTTAAAGTAGCCTGCCATTTTAATTAACCTTGCTTTAATTTCTGTTTTGTCTGAACCTTCATTAGTTATTTTAAAAAATGAACTAAAACAGGATTTTGAAAATTATCTCTACTAATTAACTTTGTATTACTGGGTGTTGACTGGCATTTTTGTTTATAGAAGATAGCATTATTTTAAACTGAGTTGACTATTTCATCATCTTGAAACACTTTTTGAAGTTGTTTTTTTTTTAAATGGGCTATCATGATAACTTTTTTTAGTCACTAAGCTGATGGTAGAAAAGCAAAATGGTGTATATTTACTGAATTTACAGGTGATGACTGTCCTCTATTGTAAATATTTTATCTCTTTCTCTCAAAATTAACAGGGACCAATACAGCAGCCTGCAGCAGCCCACCAGTTTTCAATGCAAGCATTTGGTACACAACATAGCCTAGGTCTTGCTTTACAACCATCATCTTTAGACCAGGGCCCAGTTGGACCAGCTGCTTTGAATCTTCATCAGTCTCTGAGTCATGGAATATCTCAGCAGGCTCAACAACATCCTTTAAGTGGGAACAATAAAGGATCTCCTTTTGGAAGCATAATTGCTGCACACCCAGGTCAGCAGCCGACACATCAACCAATTAATCAGTCAGGACACCTTGTTCAATCTTCACAACATAATATGTTGGGACACACACAGCAAGCTCAGCAGTTAATTGTATCAAGGGGTAATCAAGTAAGTTTTTGTTTTAAGATTAGCCCTACAGACTAATGGTGTGTTCTCGGCATCAAAACAGTTGTTTTTTTGTTTTGTTATTTTAATTATTAAATCAGCATGTTTCTGGACCCAAGCCGCAGTGTCAGTAGTGCAATATGCTCTGTTTTTCATCATTTACAATCCTTTTGCAATTGATTAGCTTTAGCTTAATGTATATTTTTTGACATGTGTATTCAGTGTTAGCTCAAAAAACAAAATAGCCTGTTTAAAAATTTGTGTTATTACATTTTTTTTTTTTAGATCAAATCTCCTCCACACAGTACGCCTCAAAATAACTACATCAGTAGTGGAATACCAAGTTTTTCACAAGGACAATTAGTTCCTAACAAGCAGTTTAGTAATAGTACACCCAGTAACACTGGTCAACCACAAAATATCAGTGGTCATCATATTGTCAACTTAAGCAACTCTGCTAACGCAAGCAATATGATTATGTCTGGCATGTCCTCTGGAAGTACTAACCATAGCAGTAGCAGCAAAAGCACTACTTCTGGAATTTCTGTCAGTTCTATGGATATGGCTAGTAATAGCTCTCGTAATAGTGGACAAAATTTGTCAATGGGAAGCCTTTCCCAATCTCAGGTTGGAAGTACAAATTCTCGTAGTACATCTACCACAAGGTTTCTAAATCCCAATGCTCCGAACTACACAGCAAGTAATAAATATGGAGTGACTGTTAGTGGATCAGGAAGTAGTACTTCAACACAAACGTTTGTACCTTCACAACAGCCACCTCCAGCACAACTATCTAATCCAGGTGAGTCTCATGAGTAATGTTGTTTTTAAACTTCATTGTAAATACATTCCTAGACAAAGTTCTTGTTAAAACAAACTTGTATACCTTGTGGGAAATTATTTCGTTTTTTTATTTCTTGTCATTTAGGTAATAATCAAGTGAGGTCCCAAATGATGATTGGAAATTTAGGACGACCCAATGCTGCACAGGTGTCTGCTAACAACCGAGCATCTTTCCCAAATCCTATTCAGCGACCTGGGGGACCTCCTGTCTCAGTTCCTGTACAGCAGTTTGGGAATGCCAATAATAGTAACAATGGACCACCAAATAAAGGAGGCAATCCTATTCCTCCTGGTAATAATGCAAGTGGTCAGAATCCTATGAATCTAAATGCTATGAACATGGGAAGTAATGTTCTTTTTAATAGCATAGTAAATGCAGCAAAAACATTGATTAGCATGCAAGGTGTCAGTAGTGCAGGAGGACCAAATCCATTTGGAATGAAAGGCCCCACACAAGGTCCTGTAGCTGCCCCTTACATGAATTCATCTAACAGGGATGGGACTCAAAGATCTACTGGAAAAGGACCTAGTACTCCACAAGGATTGAATCAAAAGATTGGAAATACAGGAAATAACCCTACAGTTTCATCCAATAATCCCACAAAAGCACCAGGCTCATACCCTGATAGCCTAAAAGCTCAACAGGCTAAGCAGCGACAAGAAGTTCTCACACATGCTGCTAATTTTCTAAATAATAAATCATCAGGCAACAAGGATCCCACAAAGGTAAGCTCAGCAGCTGTACCCAGCACTACTAAACCAGAAGAAAAAAAGCCTGCTCTAGCTATGGTATCAAATCCTAGTCTTGTGGGCACGAGTGTGAAAATAAATATAAGTGCAAGCAGTAATACCAGAGCTCCAGCCATCCCAGTTACTGCTTCAGCCTCCGTGGCTTCTGCAAGTTCATCTTCTAGTAAGAAAACCACAACAAATAGTAATCCTAACACATCGAGTTCACCTCCAAATGGAAAATCTGCCAGTGGTGAAGATGAAAACAAGTGAATGAAAGCAGCAAATAAATGAAGCCATTTTTAACATCATGGTTAACATTGAAAAGTTTGCATAATTTAATAGTATATTTCTTGGACAAATTTAAAGCATAGTTGTTTTTTAAAAGCCATTCTAATCTAAACAGGTAACTTAAACTTTGAAAAATTGATGAAAAATTCAAGAATACTGTTAGTTAAATTTGTTGTGAACAGAAGCAAATGAAATAAACGATAATTTTGTTCCATAATTTGGACTGTCCATTTAAAATGAGTAAAAGCCGCATTCATGAGGAATGTGATGCATGTAGCTTGCACTCACATTATTTTTTATAATTGCTAGTAGTTGTGGCATCATTCATTGGGACTGGCAAACACATAGCATTGTTCAAAGCAATTCTGTAATTTTGCATCTTTCAGAACAAACAAATTTGTACTCAGCATATTGTGATTGAATGTGTTGTTTTAAGGTCTTATAAATATCTCTACTGGACTTCTTGGTTCATTTAATTTTTTAAGAAATTTGAATTTTTTAAAAAGAAGTATAGGAATTCCAAATTTTCTCTTAGCTTTAGATGCCCTGTTTTGTTTTAAAAGAACACAGGCAGGAAGTTTACATCTGATATGGGCCTATAATCTTGTGGTGCATTTTTTTGTAAACTTATGAAATTTAATTGCAACTGTTCAGATTAACTTTTTCTTGTGTGCGATATTGAACAGAAGGAATTTGTTTTGTGTATTTTGTCATTTGATGTACATATTTTGTTTGTTCTGTAGAGAAAGAAAATGGACAGTCTTAACTTCCTTAGTGGTTGCAACAATCACATTGAGATAAACCCTAACATGTTATTCATTTTTATGATTACAAGGTTAATGCTCCTTAATTTTGGTGCAAAGCCTAAAATACCCATACTGAGACTTAACAAACCAACATGATGCTATATATCTAGTCCTTCACTAGTATCAGGTTGATACTGAATGGTAGATCATATATGCTTAGACTTGATACCATAGAAATGGTTTTCAACCCATTCTTAGAGACAAGCCATCAAATGACCCATTTGATTGATATACAGCTAGAACATCTGATTTCTGCCAGATGTGTGCTAAAATACAAATACATATATTGAAGTACATTTGAAATTCCTCTTGTAATATGTTGGGTAATACTGACCCATTAAAAATGTAGGGTAAGACATTCCCCCATGTCAATCCCTGCAACACTTGAGTAAGGACTACACCCTTGTGCCCCCAAGGTTTGTAGTTAAAAGGCTTTGGTGATTGCACCAACTTGTGTATCCCCCACATAAGATGCATCACTTGGCTTCACCTGCCTTTTTTTTTTTAACTTTTTTTTTATAAAAAACCTTATTTATTTACTTTTTTGTACTAGTGTATGTGTGTACGTCTGTGTGTAATGTTCTTTTCTGTGTGTAGAATTGTTGTACTTGACAAACATCACTCAAGGACAACCTTTAGTAACAAAAACACTTTTTATTTTCTTAATAACAGAATTGTAATATTTAAGTGCTTGGGTTGAGAGAAATTGTGTAGCCTGGAAGAAACTTCATTTCTGTTGTCCTGTCTGTTGTAATAACTGTCAATTGTTACATTTATTCTCACATGGAAAGTTATGTACAGTTGTTTGCCTGCAATCTGTGGTGAACAGAAGCGATGTGCTCCAATTTGAAGTGTGTATGAATGATAAGTTGTTACAATAAAGTCAGTCTGCTATTTCTCTCATCCCTTGTCCTTTTTGGTGATTTTGGTTGCTAGCTCTCAGTGCTAATTTGAACTACCTTTTTCTATTGAGTAAAAAAAGGGAATTCTTCATTGTACCTGAGACTTATTTGTGTATTGTGTTTGCTGCTCTAATGATCATTCAAGCAGCAATGCATTAAAATTTATTCAACATTTGACCTTTCTTTTGTTTTCTTTTGTTTAAATTACTTTAAATGCCTTGAATACCATAGCATTATTTGAGCTATTTAAAAACTTGTAACTTATTTTAAGAACACTGGAGAGGTAAACAAAGAACTGGTGACTGATATTAACTGTAAGAAATTAAATTCTTAAATTTCTTTTTCCTTGCATTCAACTAAAGCTTATTCTAAAGGGTTTTTATTGTAATAGAAAGATCCAAGGGTGAAATGTAATTTTTTTTTAAAATTTGATTATTTTCAAGTATGCTGACACCGAAAGGAGTGAAATGATATTCATTTTTAAAAAACGCACCGGTCACTCAAAAAAGACCTGGAGTACGTAGTCTGTTCTAAGATGAAAGTAAACACAACCCACTTCACTGATGGCTGATTAAAATCTGTACTAATTGTCAATGTTGTTATCTCCCCATACGTTACTGAAATAGTTACCTTGAAACTTTTATCCATTTTATTTCTAAGTCATTAAAACTAAAAAATATTTCATTTTGCAACGCTATGTGAAATTGAAATGGCTGCATTAGTTAGATGTGGGTTAAAATATTGTCACAAATTATAAAACTCACTTTCAGTTCAGATTTCTTTTATGGTGGGGGGGGGGGGGGTCTCCTGGAAGAGATCCCTGAACGAAACTGGTTACGAACCTAGACTTGGTAAAATTTAAATTTCGAAAAAAACATGACTTGGGTGATTTTTTTTATACCCCCCCCCCCCCCCCATTTCCTGATCGTTTATAGCTAATCTTTAAGAGTCTTAAGTATAACTTGACATTAGTAAACCCATTATCTGTTGAATGATGCTACTACACAGAGTTTCTTCCAGGCATCTCTTCGGGGGGGGCAAAGCCCCCCCGAAAAATTTTTACCGCCCCCCCGAACGAAATGAAATTTATATAATTTATATAGAAAATATATACTTTTAACAGTGTCCGCCCCCCCCCCCGAAGAAAGTTTACCGCCCCCCCGAAGATTTCAAGTGCCCCCCCCCCCCCGGAGAAAAAAGTCTGGAAGAAACACTGCTACTACATAGTTACATCCCCTTTAATTACAGAATAATAATTATTTTCATTAAACTTTATAACTAATTTAATCAAATTAGGCTCTCATTGGATATGCACTAATCTGCATACTAACATCGTAAAAAGTGACTCACCTGAGTCTTAAGCGTGTAACGTAGGCCTACGAATGGTGACCCGAAATTTGCGCAACAGAAGACTACGCGCATCATTGTAATTTGCACAAGGGGATTTTTTTTTAATCGTATCATTTATAACCTTTAACAAAGAATGACCACAAAAATGACAAAATTAACGTGTATAGCTACCTATTGGATGTCAAATTTTTTAATGGAAAAAATGCAACATTTTCATTGTAAATTACTAGATAAACTGTCACCCGGTCGTTTATTGGATAATTAGTTTATTGAAAATATTCAACTAAACGTTTCGTAAATGTTCGTGTCATTCTCACACCCGGGTTAAGCTTTGAAGTCTTCGGTTAATAGTAACGATTTTTATCTATGGCCGGTTATTAATGCAGCTGGATGTAGCGTTGTTTTCTCGATAATTAGCAGGTTTCACGTTATGGTGCCCTAAACCTCACCCCCCCCCCACCCCACCCCACCCCACCTTTCTCTTCCTTGTCGACATCGCCAGTTAGTACTTAAAAGACTTTTTAAAATCTAATTAATCTTAATTTAACTGGCAAAACGCAATTTTCTTCGGTATATGCAATTTTTTTGTTTTGGTGTCACCCTCCAAATGGTGTCACCCGGTGCAGTCCGCAACCCGCGACGCCCCTGGGTGTGGATAACAAACAAACCAAACACACATCACCCACTCTGTAAATGCGAGAAAGTATAGGGGAGATCACTCCCGATTTATTATTTAATGTTTTTAACATTGGTTCAACTTGTATAAGGTGTTGAGTCGTGCGGCAAGCAGTTACGTCCAGAGTTTCTTCCAGGCATCACTTCGGGGGGGGGGGGGGCAAAGCCCCCCCCCCCCCCCGAACGAAATGAAATTTATATAATTTATATAGAAAATATATACTTTTAACAGTGTCCGCCCCCCCGAAGAAAGTTTACCCCCCCCCCCCCCCCGAAATTTTTTTACCGCCCCCCCCCCCCCCCGAACGAAATGAAATTTATATAATTTATATAGAAAATATATACTTTTAACAGTGTCCGCCCCCCCGAAGAAAGTTTACCGCCCCCCCCCCCCCCCCCCCCGAAAATTTCAAGTGCCCCCCCGGAGAAAAAAGTCTGGAAGAAACACTGGTTACGTCTCTCTAGCCAAGTTGTTATTATCTTTTTATTGAACTTTTATTAACATTGTTTTAACTTGATTAAGTTCGATATTATTATTAATTCTTTTTACAGTATAAATGTTGATTTTTATATACAATACATGTTTACATTTCATAAATACTAAAAAGTAGAAAATAAAACGTAGAAGGACCTTCAACTAATCAAACTTTTAAATGCAAAAAATGGAAATAAACAATCGTTGATAGTAGTTACAGAAATTTTTCATCATATTTTACCTTTTTAATGCCCATTTCTTTAACTATTGGGCCTATACTATCGTAGACCTTATATTTTCTTGTTTTTATTTTTTTATTTTATTTTTTTGTGTGCCTTTACAAGCTTGCTTTATACTTGTTTTATAAAATCATGGAATTACTTAATAGACACAATCGCAAACTACATGTTTCTTGCCTATTTTTTTTTCAAAGACAATTTACAGACAAATCTTCGGCAGTTTCTGTGGCATTCTTGCTCGTTTCTGATCTTTCAAAGCGACTGCTCGTTTCAAACTCATGCTCATTACTACAGTCTTTATGCAACCTGGATTTTTGTAAATCTTCAAGATAAACTCTTGTACTGGAGAGGGACCGGAACTCCAGAACGTCCTTGACCGCTTTGATATCTCCCAGTGTCATTCTCCGTTCAGCTAGTTTTCCCATTTTGTCCAGTTTTGGTAACGCTGTGTCCAGATTATCGCCTGAATGTCGACGAGCCAGGTTTAGCATCACTAGTTTGGAGCTAACCTCTTCGAAATCATCGCCGTTTGCTTCGCTGTATTCTGGAGCAGACGACTGAAGAACTCCCGCCCCCGCCATGGCGTAAGATCTGATTTTGGCCACGGTTTCTTGGAGGTCAGGTGGCGCGCGGAAGTGACGCGCGCGCCGACTGTATCGCTTGGCGATTTCCTCTCGTTCGCGTTCCTGCCACATGTTTGTACGGGCTTTGCGCCGGTTGAGCCACTCTTCTGCTGCCGGCGACCGTTTTAGCATCTTTTTGTGGTCCTTGAAGATCTGAGAAAGACACAGGAATAATAATTCTTGAATAAAACGGGAGTGATCTCCCCTACAATTTCTCGTATATTAAATTTTTTAAATAGAATATAATTGTGTAGAAAAAAAGGATTGAGCAACAAAATGTATGTAAACACAACATGTGTAAAATAGTGCGAAAAATTAATGCTTTTTAAAACAAACATTGATTAATTTTCAAAAATTAAAATAAACATCATATTCAGCTAAACTTTATGTCACAGTGCGTTGTCATCTAGTCTAGACCTATGTGAAAGGTTTTGAAGAAATGGGTCCGGTAGAGAAGAATTCTTTCTTCAGAAATAGCATAAAGTAATAATTCCGTTCAACGGAAATCACTCAAATTTCGAGAGAATCAAGAGAATAAAATCTTACACCTATGTTTATTTTTCGTCCACCTAACTGAAACGTTACTTAAGTTATCGATATTTTATCAAACAGAAATAGAGCAAAGTGCCATTTCCGTTTATCGGAGTTCACAAACAGATTGAAAGTTATCCAAGTATAACATCTTATACTTATTTATGAAATTTCGTCTACCTAACTGGAATAGTACTCGTGTTACATTCTTCCCAAGGAAATAAAGTACCACTTCCGGTTAATGAAAACCGTTCAAAAGTTGAAACTCATATAATAGCTGCATTTGAAATTTGGTCAACATAACTAAAAAGGCACTCAATTTATCTTGTTCACGGACAGACAGACAAAAGAACAGACAGGCAGGTAGTCAGGCAGACAGACGGGCGGTCGGACACAAAAAAAAATTGCAAAACGAATTTTCGCACTATTACTGCATGTGTGGTTTTATGCCTTTATTTTCCCTATCGTTAGGCAAGTACCCATCAGAAATGGTGGACTTTTGGCTTAGAAATCGTGCGCTCTACCTCCCGACCACGCCGTCCAATCAGTCTCGCTGAACGAAATAGAAGTTGTATAGAAAATATTTATTTTACACCCCCCAGGTATTTATCAAGTGCCTCCCCCCCCCTTTCCCGAAGATAAAAGTCTGAAAGAAACACTATCCCCGACTCGAGTTAGACGCCCAGCAATGACATCATAAGGACCTGAAACCCGAGACCGTTCGACCACACCGTCCCATTATCTACTTTCTTGAATTTATTGATTTATGGATTGTTTCGTAGTTCGTATCAACGATGTTCTACGTTTCGAAGTTTTAGTTTTTACCTGTTTCTTCTGAAAACGATGTTCTTGTGAGCCAACAAAGGACTGCTTGTCAAGCTCTGTGTATGTGTCCAATAGGCGTCTCTCTTCTATGGAGTTTTTACACATACTGCGGAGTTCCCTGTGAAATAATTGGAGATTTACATGACACCACGTTTTTTTTGACGATTTTTACTACCCCCCCCCCCTTCCTCTCCGTCATACATCGTCACAAAAAGCCAGACCCCTCCCCTAAAATGACGTCACATCTCAGCTTATACCCCCACTCAAAATTGCCTTTTCATTTTTTTAAAATCTATTTTTTTCCTAAAATCTTAACTGAGATCGGTCAACTTCGAGTGTTGTAGTCAATTGTCTACTGTAGAGGAAATACGCAAAGTGCTTATATCCTCTCATATTCTGTCGAGGAAATATTACACTGCTTATTTCCTCTCAAGCGTGAGAGAATATTTATATAATATGTAACCTAAACAGGATGTGAGAGGATATAAGCACATAAGCACCTTGCGTATTTCATCTATCATTGGTTGAAATAAGCACCTCAGGGTTTTGATTCACCCCCCCCCCCCTTCCAACCTCACCGAAGTTTGCTGCTACGATTAAGCTAACGATTTCTACAATGGTTGTGATATAAATATGCTTGGAATAAACTATTAGATTAATATACACATTTATAAAAACAATTATAACATTTTTTTTTACCTGTCAATAGAATCGGTCAACGAGCCTTTTCGTTTATATTGGCCCTGACCTCCAAGAGTCGTGAACGAAGGGAGAGAACTCCGCCGTTTATTGAAGATAAGCGAATCCGCAATTTCCGCTTCGTTTTTAGAATTGTCTTTTCCTGCTGCTGTGGATTTCATTGACTTGGGTTGGGATGACAGATAATCGGAAAGAATCGATTTATCAGTTTTCACTTCCGCCACTTGTCCCTGGACTTTGTGTGAAAAGGTTGCAGTTGCAGCTTTCGTGTCTGACATTTGGACCATTGTCTGCAGAGCCCGACTGGCCAACGTGATCTCGTCTGCTGTCATTAAAATCCTATTCGACGAAGGTGGTATCGGGTAGTCGATTCTACCCACAGTGAACATGGTTGCTTTTCTTAGCGTAAAATTATATTGGGACTCGGTTGAGGAATTTGTGTGTCAACAATGAGGTTGAAAAATTACGTCAGAGGCAGAAGAAGAGGGCAGCCGTGTGTTAGGTTTAAACCTGAAGATAGTTCATTTATGGTTAGGCGTTGTTTACAAAGGGGTGGTCATTAATGACCCCATGCACGTCAAATAATAAGGCGACGGGGGTTGGGGGGGGGGGTCAGATGTAACGTATCATAAGACAATAGCATATATTAAAAATGATTGAAAATATGTTAATATTCGTTGTAATTATGGTTATAGAGGGAACGGGGGTGGGGGGGGGGTGTTGGCAGAGTGTTTTGTCATTTTACTGTGACACTCTTTACTGATAGAGGCGGGGGAAATGGCTACATTAGAGTGAAGACGTTTGAAGACGTCACAAGGTGAACATGATATTTTAGTTAACTTTGCTGGGGACACTGAGAGACAGAATATGGCAACTGCGCATGGTCTAAGTATGCAACAATCTTGCACGTAGGCCCACGGACACAGAGGCTTAGCGAGGGGGGGGGGCGACATACGTCCCCGGGCGCTGACCTTAGGGGGGGGGGGCGCCAAAATGGGTTGGAAAAACAAATTGAAAGTTTGAGGGGGGGGGGGTGCAAATGAAAAGTTCGAGGGGGGGGGGTGCAAATTGAAAATTTGTCCCCGGGCGCCGGGAAGGGTCGCTACGCCTCTGCACTGACAGGACATCAATATAACCAATTGTAGTATGAGCTTACAGAACGCTGACAGCTAGTAATCAACAGAGGGTTTTGTTGACGTTTGTCTAAAAGCCTTTTGTCTAGTTTTTGTCTAATTTTCTTACATTGTGTAGATACTATATAACAAAAATATGACATTTTACCCACCACATTTAATATTATATATCGTTTCCTTAGACTACCAACTAATCCTGTTGGGTTTAGTATGGGGGTTACATCATATTAGAGGAAATAGCTTGTTATAAACTTATATAAAAACAAATTTAAAACTTTATTTTATGTTTAAAATTTTATTTATTTTATTTTTAAAAGTGGAAGTATCAAACTATTCTTTCCAACCATTACAAATGACACAGTTTGTGCAAAAAATAAGAATAAAGAAAACTAAATATGATATAACATTATTCCATACCAACACCCTACCCCTTACAGCGTTCTTTCAGGCATCACCCCCCCCCCCCCCCCCCACAGAACGAAAATATATACTTTTACCAGTGTCCCCCATCCCCCGGAAATTTAAGTCCTTCCCCCCCCCCCCCCCACCTACATAGTTTTAGGTAGGAACCACTGACCCTGTATAACATTATTTAACAACAGTATGAGCTACATCTCTTCCCTATCGTTTTCGTATTATATTTAACTGTGAATATTCATTAAAAACCTCTTTATCTTTACCATTCAATTACATTAACCATATTGACATTTACAATTAAGTTATATTCCGTTATTTTAATAAGTTCTAGATCTATACACACCTTAGCTGTGCATAGTGTGCATACAATGCAGTTATTTCAATAGGTTGAATACATCTTATAGACCTACTTACCCCCTGTGACTTAAAACTTTATTTATACGTCTAAATCCACATAAAAGCAGAATTTGCGAATGGCATGAACGAAAAATCCCTTGTTAAAAATCTGCTAAACCTGAGCAACTTCAGACTAGAGAAATATAAGAAGAACTGGCAAAAAAGCCAAAAATAAATAAATCTAGCTAAAACTTAAATGTTGAATGCCAAACCTGACCAACACGTCAAACACGTTATTTTTAATAGGCTTTATAGAGTTTAGCTGGCAGTTTAAAAAATAACAAGCCAGATAAATAAATAATAAATCTGGTTGACACTTCACCGGTGATTGTACATGTAAAAACTGAAATTGCTGCGGAAATCAATAACCAGCTCGTTCGTCAAGTTCACTCTCGTCGTTTGTTTGTTTCCGAAAGTTGTAAACACGAGACACAGTGTCGCTTATGAGGTCGTGACGACGCGGAGGGAAATGTCCGATAGAGAAATATCACATTTCAGTTGGGGAGAGCTGAAGAGCTAAGTACACGCAGGGTCATGGGCTTGTATACTTTAGTTAAAGGGCTGGAATAACTAATCTGGCGGAGTTCTTTTTATTACGGGACGAAATGTGAAGTAGTGGCGCTGTAAGGGTTTCTATATACTATATAGTGTATACAAGTAGGTTATGGCGCTACACAGTGGCGAAGCCAGGACCGTCTAAAGGGGGGGTTCCAATTTTTACCCGGGGACAAACTTTCGATTTGCACCCCCTAATACTTTATATATATATATATATATATATATATATATATATATATATATATATATATATATATATATATATATATATATATATATATATATATATATATATATATATATATATATATATATATATATATATATATATATATATATATATATATATATATATATATATATATACCGAGGGGTCTATGGGGGGGGGGGATTATGACCCCCCTGCCTACGCCACTGGCGCCACATGAGGTGGCTTCAGTGGCGTAGCGAGGTCGGGTGTCACCCGGTGCGGCACTTAATGGTGTCATCCCCCCCCCCCCCCAGAGGCGTAGCGACCCTTACCAGGGACAAACTTTCAATGTTCGATTTGCACCCCCTTCAAACTTTCGATTTGAAACCCCCCCCCCCCCCCCCCCCCCACAAACTTTCGATTTGCACCTCTTAAAAGACTATTTAACACTCGCATTAATCACTTAATTAAGTGGAATTATCATTTTTCTCTATATATTTTGCTATTTTTTCGCCTTGGTGTCACTCCCCTCAATGGTGTCACCGGTGCGGTCCGCACCCCCCCCCCTCCCCTCGCTACGCCTCTGGGTGGCTTTGTAAGGGTTTGTGAGATTGTGCACACATTACTACATAGCAAAAAGAAGACAATATCTGATTTACCCGATTGTAAAATACGCATAACATTACCCCTTTGTTATGTATAAATACTTTTAAGAACCGTCTTAAAAACACATAAAACAATAATACTATTTCGTTACTGCAAAATGTTGGGAGTATTTAAGATGATTATGAGAATCATATAATTTTAGAGACAATTGCTTCTTAAATCTTCATTTGAAACAGTAATATTATAGTACTTATATTACATTCTAATGACCCCCCGCCCAGTGTTTCTTCCAGACTTTTTTCTCCGGGGGGGGGGGGGGCACTTGAAATTTATCGGGGGGGGTGGACTTTCTTCGGGGGGGGGGGGGGCGGACACTGTTAAAAGTATATATTTTCTATCCCCCCCCCCCCGAAGAGATGCCTGGAAGAAACTCTGCCCCCCCCCCCGCCTTCGCAACCACCTTCATATAATTGTTTTGGCATAGTTTGGAAAAATGTCTAATTAGAGTATCAACTCTTTGATCTACTTTTGATTAAAAACATGTACTAAATTTGATTTTGTACTGCTCCCTCCTCGTAGAGAGCAGAAACAAGAAAATAGAATGTTATTGGAAATAGGCAGCCCAGTACGTCTATACGTGTGTAGGTGAACTGGTCCGAGTTGTCAAGTGTGTGGACTAAGTCAGTCACTGAGCCCTAATGGATTCATTAGAATAGTGTTTACTAGGCTACTCTAGTAGATCTGTCTTGTCAATTGGATTCATTAGAATAGTGTTTACTAGGCTACTCTAGTAGATCTGTCTTGTCAATTGGATTCATTAGAATACTGTTTACTAGGCTACTCTAGTAGATATGTCTTGTCAATTGGATTCATTAGAATAGTGTTTACTAAGCTACTCTAGTAGATCTGTCTTGTCAATTGGATTCATTAGAATAGTGTTTACTAGGTTACTCCAGTAGATCTGTCTTGTCAATTGGATTCATTAGAAAAGTGTTTACTAGGCTTGTTGTTCAGTTTAAGGTTGGATAAGGTGGGGCAGTCATGGTTTAAACCTCGGGTGGGGTAGGGGATTAATGTTTCTTTCTGGCATATTCAACCCCCCCCCCAGCACGTAACCCCCCCCCCCTCCCCTCGAAAGAAATAGAATTTATATAGAAAATATACACTTTTAACTACGTCCACTCCCCCCCCCCCACCGAAAGATTCGTGTGTCCCCCCCCCCCCCCTTCACCCCCAGCGGAGAAAAAAAATAAAACTGGAGGAAGCGAAAAGGGATTGAGGGTAGACCAAATAAACTAATACTGAAAATGGACCAGAAAACTAAGGACTAAAAAAAACGAGTTACAACCACAAAGTATAAGTACTTTAAGCATTTATTTTAGACAAATATCAAAACAGCACAGGAAATTCTCAAAGAAGAAAAACTCTTTCAAAATTATCATGCTGTCAAACTTGAAAGACAAGTCCTCCATTTAGGGCTATATTTAGAATATTTCTATATATGAATGCTGTTATATTCTATCTAAGTAGTGGAGGTTATAAACGATTGAATATGTCTAGCCTAGGCCTAATTGATGAGAGCAGAGGCGTAGCGAGGGGGGGGGGGCGGGGATTGCGGACCGCACCGGGTGAACCCATTTAGGGGGGTGAACTTGAGGGGGGGGGGTGCAAATCGAAAGTTTGAGGGGGGTGCAAATCAAAAGTTTGAGGGGGGGGGGGTGCAAATAAAAAATTTGACTGTTTGTCCCCGGGAAGGGTCACTACGCCTCTGGGGGGGGGGGGTGACACCATTAAGTGCCGCACAGGGTGACACCCGACCTCGCTACGCCACTGGATGAGAGCGTATACCGACATGCATTCTTAGCTGGATTTCTGTGCTGTTTTACTTATTCATACAAGTAAGGTTAACGAGCTTGTGCCTAAAAATAGAAACAATTGACAAATCGAACCACTCTACAGTTCTTAGCAAAAGGTTTGAATGAAAGAATGCTATTTTTTTTTTTAAAGTGTAGGTCTTTATAAAAGATATTAAAATCGTCATCATATTAATAGTATAAGTAAATAATGTGAGTTCCTGGGTATATGAAGTTTTCATTTTTTTTAAAAGTTAGTACCTTTGAAAGCAATTAACAATTTCTTGGGTTGTCAAAAATACATTTCGTGCAACATTCCGCGCTGGGTGGTACAAGTGGCATGAAGATTGTCTCCATTGATTTGAAAACTTTCCCTTGAACAACTCAAAACATGACTTAGACAGTCAAATAAATCACCAAGACAAAGAGGAAAAAATCCATAAATATGTGAAACGTTTGTATGTCTAAAAATAAAATGCAAATTGTGTTCCAATTTACGAAGTAAACAAGGGTTATTGATGTCAAACACGAGTTGTCGCACTTGAAAGACAAGCCCTCCCGCGCGGGGCTATATTTAGAAGAAATCAAGAACAGTCCTAGACACGAAT